ATATGTAGAAGTGCACTCTTATTTTCAGAGGATCCATTGGGGAGTTGATGTCAGATATCACTCAGTCCAAGAGAATATAAACTCTTTCTCAGTCTGATTAAAATTTCAAGACTAAGCAAACAAAAATATAGCCTTGCTTTTTTTTTTATTTTTTATGAATAATCAAAAAGAAAAAAAAATGAGCGATGTTTTCAGAGCTTGTGTCATCATTTCCAATTTTTGTGGTTTGCTTATAGAAGCTCGCTCAGAAGTGAAAAGTCTGCAAAGATTTTAGTAAGTAGGAACAGGTTATTTAGCATGGCATTTCGTAGGCGAGAAATTCCAGCTTTCCAATCAGAGAATTTCCCCCAAATCACTCAGTGTCATTCGAGCTTATAAATGGTATGATTATATGTAACTCACGACGGTTGGTTATAAAGGAACAATAAACTATGTGAGCCTGAGTAGTCAACGAAGAAATGTATTTGCTCTCAAGATATCATGATTAAACCGAACAATTGCAACATGAAAATAATGTCGAAATGCATATATATGAGTAAAGCTTACCCTTTTCATTGCTTCGTTCGCTGTAAGAAGTTTTTTTGCCTTTATTTCGTTGAAATCCAATGCTATATGCACAGTGTTTTAAATGAATAGAATTTGTGAGAATATTGGATTAATGACTCATCGTAAATGCATTATTATCTTAATTTTCACTTGCAGCTGCCTCAACGAGATCGTAATCTTAGTCGCCTCACGTAATCAAATAATGGACATCTAATGCACCTTGGTCCATCTGATGATATCCTACGACGATTCAAAGATCATTTTTATTTCTCAGCCGTAAAGCTGAATAAGGCCACTGCCATAATGCACGGAAGAGGTGTGATAACAATAAAAAACGAAAGAAAGAGACACTCGTTAACCACTCCGTCATTTTTCAATGGACCATGTATGCGTGGTGGCGCTTTTTCGGAGGTGACGGTTATTCGTTTAATAACAATATACACTTTTAAAATATTGAAGGAAATATCTTTCTTGTACTTGTAGAAATCAATCTAGGTATTTGAATTCCCGAGCCACGCATAAAGCGCAGTGTTTGCGTGACCCGCATAGTGAATTGATTAAATTAAGGCTATTGAGGCTATTAGGTAATTTGCGAGATTTAATATACAGATCACATTTCAAAACATATCATTATGTGCTTAGACCTATATCTAGGAGCCATTTTGTTTTTTTTCTTAATGGTTTTCCCCGATTGCAGATGAGATTTTAGTGCGGAAGTCGATATTTCTTTAATAAAAAATGAATGTGCTAACTTTACATTCCAAGAGTAGATAATGTCATTACTCCGTCAACTAATTTCAGGTGTATTTCGGTCATTAAGTACTAAACTTAATTACCAAGAGTATATATCTCCATATCAGAGGCTATTAACTAAAAAGGGCTTTGCTGAAAATATAGACTTTATTTTTTCCTGTAATCCGTGACAATCCACCCGAGGATCTCTACTCCCATACCAAGTAGAAAACGTGGTATTCGCATGAAATTACGTCTATGGATTTTTGTGCTCCTCTCATATGACAAAACTGCTTTTTCCTTCTACATAATGGCTATTTGAGAAGTTTACGAGACAGGCAATAAACTCAAATTTGAAAAAGGTCTTCTGTCGTCGCTCTAATTGCTTGTCTAACCTCCGTTATTTTCCAAGGATAGATTATTGGATTTAGAGCAGAATTTAACGACACAAAAGAATCGATGACTCGAATCCGTCCTTAGCAAAGAGCGTTTTTTCAACGCCAAAAGGAAGAAAACAAATAAGCAACTTCAGTTGAACCCACAGAGCACTTTTCACTGTCTTTCGGTACTGTGAAACATTTAGTTGGCTTCCCCTATTGTTATGTTGTCCGTGGTGGATATGATCTTGAACTTGGGCTTGGTGATGACTAAGCTTTACAAATATCGTAATATAACATAAAGTCGAGAATATTACACTCAGCACTATGCCTATCAACGAGGTTATGAAAGCAATTTTAAAGTTTTAAAGGGAAACCATTCCAATAACACTGCTACAAAGCCAACACCAGGCTAGAATTAATCTCACTCGTCTTAAAGTCACTACCTGCCTACATCTTAGCCCAAGTGTAAGGGCGAGAAGTCTATCCACACCTATTACAGTTAGTGTATGGAGAGAAACTCCACATAAAAATATTTCCAACTATCCAAGATGCAAATAAAGCATAGAAACAAGAGTCAGTGTTTTTATAAGAATTGTAGGAGATGATACGAAGAGGTTGGAGAACGAGGCCCACACCAAGATCACTATACAAAAGTTTCGAAGGTGGGTGAAGAACTCGAGCTGAAACTTTCCGAAATGCAACGAGAATCAGAACGTTTCCTAAAATGGCTGCGATGGAAATCGCCACATCAAATGCTGACATAATCACTAGTTGATATCCATCCAAAGGAGTTTCGCTCTTGACATAACTTTGAGGTGTTGTTTGGTTTCCGTTTCCAGATGAGTTTTCCATCCTCTTTAAAATAATTGCGTCGTCTCTGTAAAAACTTCTTAATCTGAAATTGACGTTGTGTTCTCAACTAACCTGGATCATTCATTCCGGCCAAAACCTAAGGTTTTTTTCTGATTAATTTCATCTCAGGGCTTCCTGTAGTAAATGATTACGAAAGGCGACAACTGATTCTCTTTAGTCATTGAGAAGTTTGTAATTTGAACCTGAACATGGACTGAGCATTCAAAACCCTAGCAACCTATTTGAACTAAATAGCCCTTTGAACTTTTTAATAGTCAATTAAATAAATTGTGTAGGAACGAGAACAAATGATTGCATTAGCTAGGAAAGCTCTTAACATTAGAATCGTTTAAAAACTTAAATTGATTTTCATTGTTAAATGTCTCTTTAATTTGTTTTTCCTTTCATTTTGATTTTTCATCGCTTTGGCTCCCTTCCGTTTTCTATTCCCTTGTATTTTCTTTCCTGTAGTGAATGATAAGAAACATCGAGAAAATGATATTTGTAGGTTCTTTGAGGTTGTTAGGACCGACCAAACACTGAAAATTGAATACCTTTGCAACCTTTGTTAATTAATTCAGTGAAAAAGTGTAGGCAATAAACAGGAGATTGTACTAGCAAGGAGATTCCGCAACATTTAAATTGTTTTTATTAAATTTAATTTGTATTTTCATTTGTTGACTTCTCCATAGGTTTTTTTCTTTCAGTTTAATTTTATCATCGCGTTGGGCACCTACCATTTTTCATTACCAATAAAATAAACTTAAGTGTATCAGATTTTTCCTTTCTTGAAGTTTAGCAAATGTTACCGATGCATTCATTTACACGTAACGCCTTTGATGTGACACTTCAATCAAATCTTATGTATAGTCGTATAGTCTTATCATCTACATACATGGCTAATTCTGCACTCTGCTGTTGTCGGTAGAGTGATTCTCATGAGAGAGGATGTCAGGATATGACTTCCACTAGCATGGCCTGCATGTGGGAAATAAAAATATAGGCTATGGATTCAATGCTGTAAGAAATAAGTTTTGCGTTCTTTAAGATAACCTTTAAGAATTTCACAAAAGCAGTCAGTTAAGAAAGGCAGCCAAACAAAGCTGTCCCATCGTCGTTCTCAGAGCTTGCCTAACCTCACGTATTTTCCAAGAGCATATTATAGGAGTTAGAGCAGAATTTAGAGACAAAAAGACTGCTAAATTTGTAACCTTGCTTTTAATGCATTATACATTAGATTTTCCTTTTGTTTAAGTCCAAGAGATGTGACCCGAGCATTTATCTATGCGTACCACTTTCGGTGTAACTGACCTTCGTCTTATTTTCTTAATTTGGATAATCCTGCACGGCGAGGTTTTCAAAACAAGTGATTGACCCTTGAAGGTGGGTGTAGAGCTCAATACGGAACCCTACGCAGTGCAATAAGGATAAGGGTGTTTACCAGAATGCCGGCAATGCAAATAGCTGTATATTAAATGCCGCGGTATAAACCAATTGATTTCCATCTAATTTATTCCTGTACCAAATATAACTTCGGCTGTTCTTTGATTTCCATCTGTAGATATATTCTCCATCATTCTGACTGGTTTATATAATTTATAAGGGAATGGATCATTATGAAAATCTCGGCGAAAGCCTAAGATTTTCTTCTCATCAGATGAAGTAATCTAATTTTATGTAAAGTTTAATGTCTCTCTTTCTCTCAACATTCGTTGATGACTGATCCCAGCTTTAAATTGCTTCAATATAATTCAATGTTTTTTTCTTGATACAATGAACCCTAGGATTTCTTTCCTCCGCCTTCACTGTGGAAACTGCTCTCTATTTTCCGCTGCCTCGAAAACATAACAGCTATTACATGTCTTCAAAGCAAAGAAATCTAGAAAACAGCTGACGAACTGAAAATTTGCCAATCAAGACAGCCAAATTAAATTTCTTCGAGACTATTCCAACCTGGCTTGATACATGGGTGGTTGTTTAAAAGAGGTGAATGACTACAGAAACCGCCAGAACTAATGATGAAAATACAACTGCTACTAAGGTTTTAAGCTACCATGCCGTTCACGATGTTTTGTTTTTACGCTCCCACACAGGCATTCTGAGTAAATAATAGAAAGTTTCAGGTGGTCGCTTAGTTGAAAGTGATTGCCGTGATATTGAATAGTGTGTAAGGTCAAGTTTTAAAAAAAAGCCATAAAAAGATTTTAATTAGTTTCACTAACGAGTCCCTTCTACTAAACATGGTGGCGATCAGTTTTTCTAGGAAGATCCTAGACTTTTGTCACAATCATAGAATCATTCCATGTCAAAATAAATGCAGCCAAATGAAAGCGCGTTCATAAAAAAAGACAAAAAAACAACCAAAAAAAAAACAAAACAAAAAAAAGGGCGACTATTTTGAAGAAGATGGAGAATGCACATAACGAGAGCAACCAAACCACTGTTGAAGACTCTATTCCTTGCTCGGCGATAGGTCTGGATGGGAAGCAAATGGTATTTCTCTTTGCAATTAACGTGGCGATTTGCATCTCAGCCATTCTGGAAAACATTTTGATTCTCGTTGCATTTCGAAAGGTTTCTTCCCTGCATCCTCCTTCTAAGCTTTTATTTGAGTGCCTTGCTTTTACAGATCTTGGCGTTGGTTTATTACACCAACCCCTTCATATCGCCTCTTTTACGCTTCACAAAAACGCCAAGACTTGCTCTTATATCAAACTGGCGTCATGGATCGTGGCTGTCACTTTCTGTGGAGTGTCTCTTCTTACGTTGGCTGTGGTTAGTGTGGACAGACTTCTTGCACTTACACTTAAGCTACGATACAGGCAGGTGGTGACTCTAAGACGAACACAGTTTATTATAGCTATTCTTTGGGTCGGTAGCAGTGCTAGTGGATTGGTATCCCTTTATAACGGGAGGATTTCTTTCATGATTTCCTTCCTGGGTACTATGACGTTTATCACCATCTCAACATTCTGCTATATTACGATATTTATAAAGCTTTTTCATCACCAAGCTCAAATTCAAGGGCAAGTCCTCAATGCACAGCATAATAATGTAGGCAACCAACTGAATATCTCGCGCTACAGAAAGACAGTCTCGAGTGCTCTCTTTGTGCAACTGACATTAGTTGTATGCTATACTCCTTTTGGCGTGGAGAGAGGGTTCATTGCTACTAATAGACACGTGTCATCCTTTGCCGCGCAAGTAGCATGGTCCTTAGTTGCGCTGAACTCTGCTCTTAATCCAATAATCTACTTCTGGAAAATGAGGGAAGTACGACATGCAGCGAGGACATCAACTGAACAACTTTGTTGCCGAAGTCGAGTTCCCTAATAGTTTAGAAAAACTCCTCAAAACTCCGTCACTTACAGTCAGCTCACTTTATATAAGAGGCCTGAAAAGGCACTAATATTATCTATAGCGTAAGAGCAAGAGATTAATGTCTTTGTAAGTGGTACTTATGGTATGTTAATTCTGTCATCAAGACGTACACGAAAAAGCTCCCATGCTTTTACAAGGAAATTCAGAAAACCATTGGGGATCCCGAGAAACCCATTGGTTACGCAACGTCTGCTGCTCAAGAACCAGGGAGCAAATTTCCTTCTGTCCCCAGAGAAACATTACTTGCACCTATGAAGAAAGTTTTGTTTTTGTTCCTTTTTCTCTTCCTCTAGCGATAATATTAATCTCACAATACTGCCGAAACAATAAGGCCGTTATCTCTTTTCCCATGGCATCTTTCCTGTGGGCAAATTTAATGTCTATTGTCACGGAAAAACGATTTTTCTTAGAAGATGGGGCATTACGAGTTAAGCAGGTAAATGGGAGATAAAATTAATCTCTTAAAACGTGACGATGCGAATTTTTTTCTTTTTTTTTTCTTTTGAGGAATCCGTTTTGATATAAAGATTTGGATGGCTTGAAGTGACCTGAGCAAAATAAAGGTTGTGATCACTCATTTCTCGCAATACCATTTTCACTTTCAGTACATGTCAAGGAATAGACCATTATATATATTATGACTATACTAGTCACTTCGCATTACGTGAGGTTTGTGAATTAGTAAAGAGTGTGTCTTTGAATACAAAAATAAATAAATAAATAGACAAATAAATAACAATAACTTGATGACAATAATTCTAACATAGGTAAGTATGAAAGAAGTGAAGAAAACATTTCACAAATTTGTCAGTTAGCAAAGCTAGAGAACAAATCAGTAGATAATTCATCTTGGTATATTTGCATATATTATTTATTTGTTTATTTATCATTTTACCATTATTATATATTAAACGGGGAACAAAGTTAATTTAATAATACACAAGAAATAGAAAATAGAAAAAAGAAAAGGCGAGGAAGTCTCAAAAAGCCATGAAGGCTTATAGGTGAGGCTCCCTCTTTAAATTGGAGTTTAAGTTAAACTAGTATGTCGAACGTAACTTAACAAGCGCAAAGTACTAAGAAAACTTGATTACTTAGTATTGATAACCTTGTTACACTCTCAGGCATTGTGAAGTTACAATCAATTTGAACAATTCCGCGACCTCGAATCCAACAGCGAATTGAATTACACAGATCTCAGTTCATTTTTATGATGGTGTTACGTTAAGTGACTAAGATTGCGAGTTTTATCAAATGACATGAGCGTTACCCAATATACGAAACCGAGACCTGGGTAACATAACTTAAAATAAGCATTTACGCCCAACACACGGAATGATCACCTCGATCACATTTTTGCACCACGGAATACACTGGACGTTGTACTTCAATATTGTTTATAATAAGATATCAATATTGTTGAACCATTTGCGAACCAGCTCATTTCCCCCGAGTGTCAACTTTTCAACAAACAGATTGATTTTTGTACGACCACTAAGAGCTGTTATTTTGTTCATTTGAGAGCAATGGGGTATTTCCATAATGCTATCAACCACTATCCAGGCCATCCCCACTCTATGAGAAGCAGGGGATGGCACAATGGCAGGAGTTCTCTTCACCCACTGCAGTGTCGTCACATAGGGGGGTTGAGTTGTTGGTTCTTGTTCATGCTACGAGGGTTTTCTTCGGGTACTCCTGTTTCTTCCCCAAAAAAAAAAAAAAAAAAAAAAAACCAACATTCCAAATTCAGCTCGAACTGGAAACAGTGGATCAGAAGAACCACTTCGTGGTATGTTCAGAGCTACATTACAATTATCATTCCCACCATTATCATTATCACCCAATGATCAAATTTTGTCAACACAAAACAAACCGGCTCATTTTCCTCGAGTTTTGGCTATTTGGCGAGGTAGACTGATGTTTATTTATACCTCTCACCACTTTCCCCTTATTTTTGTTTCTTTTTTTGGTTTTTATATTTCTTTCCCCTCGAATAAGAGATCGCTGTGATGAACTCTTCATTTGATGTTAGAGTTATCTTTCCTTTTTCTTAGTTTGCATCTGCAGGCAATTCTTGACTACTGTTCAGGGCGTTGTCCAATAAAGTCAAGTCCTCCACTAAGTTAGGGATTGTCACTTTGAGTAACTCATTCTCCTTCATGGCTTTGCAGATGGCTTGTTTGGCATGAAGATTCCCTGACCAACAGCGGCGAGCGACCTACATTAAAGGTGAAATTCTAGAATGGAGACACCAATCTGGACACGATTTTAAGTATTCGGGGGAAAGGAAGGAGAGACGAAGCTATTGAATACCAGATATCAGTAAGCAAAATTTTACCAACGTTACCAATTCATTACTTTTTGAGGGTTAGAAAAAACAAGTCTTCTCTTACTCCGTTACTGACGTCCCATGATAACATCATATGAGCTCTTTTACTGGCCTCCTGTCATAGAACGGAAAAAAAGAGGAAAGAATTTGTTACTCAAAGCGCAAGCCGGTATAACCCAATAAACAGGCCTTTAGTGTTCCTTCAGCAATAGCACTTACTCAGATGTGCACGAGAAGTTATTTATCATAAACATCCACGAACATTTGGGTAATCAAACCCCTAAACAATCTTCAACTTAACTTACTTCTGATCCGTCTAAGACAAGACCGAAGCCTCCATTGATAACCTCACCCCTAAAAGAAAACAAAATATCAGTAGCTCAACATCTGAATAGCCACGACCATTTATACCATCTAAGAAGAACTGATTGCCGGTGCGTTTCTCTCTTGGCAGGGAAAGGCAGAGATATTCGATCTCACCATCCCACTCCACCCTTGCTATGAAGACTTACCATCTCACTGCACCCCAGTTATGAAGACTTACCTTCCCACTGCACCCCAGTTATTAAGACTTACCATTCCACTGCATCCCCCGTTATGAAAACTTACCATCCCACTCCTCCCCTGTTATGAAACTTACCATCCCACTCCTCCCCCGTTATGAAGAGCGACCCATGTAGCTCCACGGAATGAATCTCCGATTACATTTTGAACCGCCATGTCTGCAAGAAACAAAAATATAAGCAAACATTATTAATACTGGAAATAGCAACATTTACATGACTATTTCAGTTGCACCATTTAGATCACGTGTTATCTTAACCCTTGAACCCCTAAGAGTGACTCCACGTCTTATTTCTCCTTACGGTGTCACTCTTAGATCAAACAACTAAAGAAGCTCTTGATTGTTAAACAAATTCTCTTGTGAGAATCTTAGGAAATGTAAAAAAACAGTGTGGAGAATATGCATACTGATGTTACGGTGTAGTGTTAACAAAGTGACAACCACATAAGATTCTTTTTACGAACAACATCAACAAACAGACACGCAAAAAAAATAGACATAAGAACAGAAAATCCTGCGTTCTCCAAGTCAAAAGAACAGAGCTTTACTATTCAGCCACAAACCTGCACAGAAACTGGATCCATCGTAGACATTTGAAGTCTCTCGGTATGGACTTAAAAACAAACAAAACATTATGCATAAAAGTAGAAAGTCAGGGATGATTTAGGAAGCAACGAACATGTTATGTGAACGCTTGTCCAAAAGCACGTTGGAAAAATCAATGTTTCTTTTTTTTTCCAATAAAATCGTTGCAAACCTAATAAAGAACACTTTTAGTCGTAATCTGTCGTCGCAGTACGTTTCTTCACAAGTATTTCTTCTTTACGAAATGAAGATCGGTTCTTACAATAATGCCCCAGATGAGCCAAAATAAAAGAGGGCACTTAGTTAAGTAAGAATTCTCCACCAGTGATAAAGCTCTATCAGTTTACCTGTCCGTTCCACTGACATCATGGTGGTCCCGACTGATAACAACACAACCCTGGAAAGGTACCATGGATAAATAAAGTCATTAGCCAGGGAAGGAGGCATGCTTTAATAGACGTGTTGAAGAAATAGGTCTTGTAAATTAGGTGCCTCTTTATACTCTACTATTAATTATAGGGTAGCTTAGCCTATTTCGGTTTTTCGCTGTTTTTTTTTTGTTGTTGTTGCTTGTTTGTTTGTTTGCCTAGTATCATTATTATGTGTAGCCTCATATTAATCCTCTTAGGAGAGCGACTAAATGTAAAAATCACTCTTTGAACCATTTCATTCCCATGAGTGGCCAAGACAGAATTTCTCCTTTTCTCCTCACAACATCAATAAAATATGAGTAGACAGGTGATGACGGAAAAGAAAAAAATTCAATCAGTGGATTATTAGTTGATCCGATACCAAATTCTCTGAACTAACATCATTCGAATTGTATGGTAGACAGTGCGGAGAATTTATCCTTAAGAGATCTTGGCAGTGAAAGGGTTAAACTGCTCATTACATAGTTTAAAAAATGCATGTCAAAACGCTAAACCACTAACCGACAATATCCCGTCACGTATTGCCATATTAAATGCCTCTGCGAGAGCAACGCGGCCTCGCTGATCGGAGTATAAAATCCGTGCTTGAGATCCAACAACCTGAAAGTCGAACACAATTTCCCTTTTTCAGTACTTTACCTTGTCCCTCCCAAAAAGCAGCACTTCCATATTCAAATCGAACTGGAAATGTTGTTCAAATAAGAACCACCACTTCGTGAACGTCTTTTGCTGATCCGATTTATTCATCGTAGTACCACTAGGGCAATTTTCAATAGTGTCGAAAGAATTCTGGGATTGCTTTGGTATTGCTTTACTTCGCTCTGTGATTGGTCCAGAAAACTCGCGCCGCTTTCTCAACCAATCAGATGCAAACCTAAACCAATCACGACTTGGTCGTCCGCGTTTTCCCGCGCTTTAGGTTGTTTGGTTATTTTCACTTTGAGTTCTCATTGGCTCTTAAAGGTATTTTATTTTCTTCTGATTGGCTTTTATGATAACTTTAGCTTCGGTTTTACGACACTCAATCGAAAAGCGTCCTTTAAATCATTATTTAACGTCCCATGAATAGCGGATGGAGAGGCGGAGTAAAGGGAGAGGGAGGTCTGGTTAGTGTTAAACACCTTTAACTGTGTATTCCTTAAAATAGTGACAATGTGCCAAAATGAACAATTGAGTTATGGCTCGAGATTTTTATCTTGTGATAATTAAAGTGGGCAAGGGCCAGTTACCTAGCAAGGATACGAATCAAGGGTGAATAATGTGATTCTTTTAGTATGAAATATGCGATTTTGTTTGAAAACTTCGCCACAAGACAGCCTCGTGTTTTTATTTTATTTTTTCAAAATAGCACACTGTTAGACAACTCACTTTATTCGTTATCTACGATGGCATAGATAGCGAGTAACACAGCCAATCAGAATGCAGCAGCGCAACCCAAGCAGATTTATAAAAAAACAAAAATGATATTAAAGAAAAACGCGTCTAACCAGATTATGTTGATGAGCCTCCTCGATCCACTTCAAATTATCCTCATACTGCGCCTGGACATTAGCGGGCACTGAAACCAAGGAAAATAATTAATACCCTAAAATCAAACCCGTTAAAAGTGAAGCCAACAAACAAACAAACAAACAAATGAACTTGAACTTACATCCTTCCGCAATAATTTCTCGGAAGACTTTTTTGGCAATCTCGTCTGTTGTCGCTAAATCAGCTGCCAGGCCTGTTGTGCAGACCCACCTCCAGAATGAAATAAGATGAATTACATCAATAATGATAACGCTAATGATAATAGGCTCATTTGATCATATCCTCCTGTATGTTAATTTGCGCTGTATAAATATTAAATGTTACTGTTAAATATTATTAATAATGATAAATTGCAGCTAAATTGCAAGGGTCATTGCTCGTGATTTTGATCATTGTCGATACATGTGTAACACCTTGTAATTAACTCACCTGAACGGCCCAAATCCCAAAGAAAATATATCCCTAAGGAAAAAAAGAAAAAAGCAAATCTTGTTTATGAACCAAAGAACAGCACAATAACGTACCCTGAGATGGACAGAAAGGAAGGAAAAAGATTATTCATATATGGTACATATACCAAAGATGAAAACGAGGAACTCTTAAAGATTGATGCATATCAATCACCAGTGCACCATTCGCGAAGAAATATGACAAGACTGCAGCTATCTATGAGAACTGACTTGAAAATTGCGTCTTACTTGGGTCTCTCTTGCATGCCACTAAACTGCTTGAATTACCAATAATATTACCATTTTGAAGGTTTTGAGAATAATCTTTCGTGTTATTCATCATGAATCATACCCCATAATATCTTGTACATAAGAGGGGTAACGGAAAACGCCTGGTGGAGCACTCTCTTTGTTGACATCAGCTCCTGTGCAGATAAGAAAAAACAGAAAAGGGAAAAATCAAGATTGATGGAAAAGGAAAAATCTAAAAAAACATAGTGTCAAGGATATCGAACAAAAAAACCAGTTTTAGATTAAAAAACCAATTAGATTTTGTGTGCCTAGTTACGATCGTAGTTACAACGTTTATCTTTTCCCTATTGGTTTGTTGACATCAGCATATAAAAGCAAAGTTAGTGTCCCTTTGCAGATAATGAACAAAACTTTCGTTCTTTCGTTCCAAACAGGCACAAACCGATATGGAAAAATCTGTTCAAGATTGATGGAAAAGGTAAAAATCTGAAAAAAAAATAATAGACGGAAAATCAGCTGCAAATGTTTAAGCCAATCTTTAAAGAGAAGTTTTAATTTAGCCTTTTATGATTTGTTTATGTTAATTTTAATGTTGTTATTTTGGTTATCCATAGGATGTCCAATTCAAGTAGATTCATCACCTGTAATTTCACGATCGTGACTTGATCTAAATAAAACCGTTAAATCTTGGTTTTCGTGGTTTCCCTACGACCGGTAAAATTCCCCATAATCCCAAAAGAACATTCCACCATCAGTGAGTTTATTAATCGCTGCCACTTGTCGACGTAGGCTGAAATGGTACAATAAACAGTAACTATCCAAGTGCTCTTTCTAACCATTTTCAGACCAGCTACTATTGAACTTAGAGCTTAGCAGCCACCTTCGGGGCAACATTTATTCATCTTTTGTCGTTACTTTGGGCAAAATATAGAACCACACCGTCGTTATTGTATCAGGGACATTACAAAATTTAAGAAATGGCGACGGTGACGCCGTGGACAACGTCAGTTAAAAAATTAGCTTAAGTTTTACTTAAGAATCTCGCGATACTCTAAAGTCATTTAATTTGTTTCTCACTGTCAAAACTATCTCGAAACTGAATATGGAACGCAGCGTTAAATTAGAAATAGAAATTTAAAAAATTAGCCTTCGTCGACCACGTTTTCCAGAGAACGCAGAGTTTGGTCATTTCACGTTGTTGTTTTGCAGAGGGCGCATAGAAATTTACAAATATTTATAACGCACGTGGATAGCCACTGCTCTTCTCATTAAACCTTTTGTCTAGTGACGTTCTCGGCGTGGTTTTCTTCACCTCCTTTTAAGCAAACCACGACGGCGACGGTAACGTGGCAAAACAAAAAACCTAATGGCTAAAACAATGACTCAGCACGTGCGTTTTAAAATTTTGTACATTTCTTAGCCGTCCTCTGCTAAACAACAATGTGAAATCATCAAAATATGCATGGTCTGGAAACGGAAACCCCGTAGTTTCCATTTGGAAGTCAACGCTGCTTATAAACGTTATGCTGAAGTTGAGGTGTTTCGCAGTAAGAGACGTAAACACATGCAGCCATTCGCGAATTCTATTTAAAAATAGACATTCAATTTTTTTAAAACGATGTCTTTCTCGGCATTGTAGTTCCGACTGCCTAGGGTCTGTTGAGACTATTACCGTGCTATATCAGTCTAGGAAAACTTCATGTACCAAACTAGTGATTTCTATAACGCAAGTGCAAAATAGGTCGCTAAAATAGACAAAGGTAGAATCGAAAAAGCAAGAACAGCAAAGCCAAAGCATAAGAAAACAAAACCCACCGTACAAACATAAAATAAGTGAAGTTTATTTTAGAGCGACAAAATTTGGCAATGAACAAGTGAACAGCTGAACAGCTTGAACCAGAAAGAAGCTCATTTCCTCACCTCTCTTGGACGAGAGCTTTGAATCTTTCTGGTTCCCGTTTCATAATTCTTTTAGCTTCCTCAAAGGTTACCTAGATCAACCAACGATCAACCAACCAAAGAAGCTTCATGAATTTACGAAATGTGTCAACGAAAAACACATGAGTAGCAAAATCAGATTATAAAAGGCAAGACGAGATCTAGAGAAAGAGATTTTCTTTCGAGCTGATACTAACCTGAACAGGGTAGTAACCTCCATTAAAGGGATTATGAAGTGATGTTTGATCCGAGCCCAGCTCCACAAGAAGATCGCCAGTCTTTTCATATTCTTGTTCAAGACGCTCCCTGTAAGCAAGCAACAAAGAAGTACTTAAGGATAGTTTTAAAGGGCTTGAAAAACAATCCGGAGTTGCACTAGTTTTGGGCGAGCAGAACTTGCGCCATTTTCACAACCCATCAAATACGAAACTAAATCCATTCGCGAATTTGTCACTTGCTTTTTAACACGCGTCAAATAGTTTGCTGAGTATATTTAAATTTGAGCTCTCATTTAACCCTTAAACTTCCAGATCCAATTAGTAATTCTCCTTACTGTCAGTCATAAAATTCTTATGATGTTAGTTCAGAGAATTCAGTTTTGGGATTTTCTTATTTTTCCCTAAATTGATATTTTTCTTTATTCTCACTATTCAATATTGTATTGATGTTGTAAGTAGAAATTCTGTCTTGGTCACCCATGGGAGTTACAGGGTTAATCAAGTTCTTTCAGGAAACGCCCTTTAAATCCTTATGAAAAGCTCGTAAAACATGGGAAAGGATTTATGGAGGGAAATCTCGACAAAGGTTTTCATTTCTGACTCACGACCGTAAACTTAAAGGGCTCTGACTACTAAAAATATTACTTCAAAAACGAGACTAACAAAGAAGTTTAGGAAAGACAAGAATATATACCACAAGTCGACAACATTGCCATGATATCCCAAGCTGCAAGGCTTCTTCGACTCTCGCGCTTTCCTGAAAAAAAAATTAGCGTAGTCATTTACGTTAAGAGAGAAAATAGTTTAAATACTCTTGGGTGGAGAGAGGTCCAGTGATAGTTTAGCGCACAACACAACCCCGGCCAGAGCTCTCGATTCTATCTACAATCGCAGACAACACCTGTTGAGTGAATTTGTCCAAAGACATATGATAGCTTCGCTATTCGGAATCTTACTGTCCGACAAGGAAATAAAATTCTCCGATCTCCCTGGTCAATTTTATTGTATCTTTTTTACCGCTATAGGCCACCATAGGATTTCCCCTTAAAACAAAATCGAAAAAAGGAGCTCAGGAAGAATAAAATTTATAAACCCTTATTTATCTAAAAGAGTTATTTGCTTTTTTTAAGTGCCGTGCGTAGCACGTACCTGATCATCTCCACACATTGGTCAACATTGGATGAGTATTCCATGAGCCACCTGAATAAAAAAAAAAAAAAAAAAAGGGCATCCCCATCATATATCACTTAGCAAAACTCAAAGTTGCCTGGAACGAGGTACTTTAATAGCACATGTCACCGTTTGGGCACTTTGATACAGAATCTCTCGTGTGCAAGTCTTCCTGGAACGTTGAATATTGTTTGGTCCGCTAATGCGGTGACAAAAAGCCTGGACCAATAATACCATGAGGAAAATCTTACCCTTGTTCGTGTCTCTTCTTTAATGCAGCTTCATCGACCTGAAGATAGAGTTAAAAACAGCGATTCAGGGCGACCAGTAAAGACTTATGGTCAGTCTCCCTGAAGTTCACGGATAACAAATTGACGGCTGAACAGAACAGCGAACAGGAAGAAAATGTTCGGACGACCTGACAAAGAGACTGTTGGAGCGATGTAAAGAGTAGCCTGTTTCAAGCGTTCCGTTAGTAAAACGGCGCAACAGTGGCTACAGAGCGAAAAAAAGAAAAAAGGGAAGCAGGTTTGTGTCTGTTCGCGTATGGTTCTATACTAAGCTATTATTTAATATAAGTTTCATTCGAGACGCCACAAATAACGTCTGAGTCAAATCACCACCAGTGGCGATTTGACCTTCAGTTGTGGCGAGTTTGTTGTGGTGACGAGTTGACCGGAAACCAGACAAATGGGTCGATAAATGGATTGACGAAAGAAGGAGGAAATGAACTTTTACACAGGAAACGAATAATAAACAAAAACGAGATGTAAAAGTACAAGAAAAGAGCAAAGGCCGAGGAAAGTCGTACGAATTCGTAACGAGCGTGGATCAACAACAAAATCTGTCTGCCTCGTAAGGATTCGAGCCTTTGCGGTTTCTGATTCCGCTGGGAAAGGTAAATGTAGAGCTTTTGGATAGATACACTGTATCTAGGTGGACTGAGGTACAGATGATTGAAGGGATTGAGGAACTGAATGCCGAGATGGACTACTGGATTGGAGGACAGATGAACAAGCGAGAACTGACCAATTTAGAAAAGCGTATTGCAGTTTTTGTGTTACGGTGATGCAAAGTACCTCTGCCACTACACCAATACAACCAGCAATCACAGCCGCTTTAGCCTGGGCTCCGCTCATTCCACCAAGACCGGCGGTGACAAAAACCTAATGTAAGAATAACAAGAAAAATAAACACACGTACGACAACCATCATTATAAAATAAAATCATTATACATTGATTTTCAAAGTCATGTAAAAATTGATGAAAAAATAAACAAAGCAGTTTAAATGTACCATTCACTGAATTCTGTACCTTTCCTTGAAGATCATTGACTCCTAGATGTCGCCTTCCAGCGTTCAACACAACGATCTGGAATCAAACATACAAATAATCATGAAATTTCTTTAGCTACATGTCCATCCATTACAAACTGTTGTATAACAGTCATAAAGCCTTTTTAAAGGAATATTTAAAATTAGGTTCATTGAATGACCCACATTGTACCTCAAGGCCCCGTCAAACGCACGCAACATTTCAACGAAACATCTTGCAACTTTCCACAGTTGGATCGTGTTGTGAGATGTTGTGAAGGAGCTGGACAAACGCGAGCAACTTCAAAAGTGTTGCAGCAAAAATTAGACCATTTTCAAACTTGATTCAACACCACCCAACAAGTTGCAATAGGTTTCCGTCCTTTGGAAATTAACAACGTGAATTCACCAAAATTTGCGTTGTCTGAGAGCGGAACCCCGACGGCAAATAGTTCAATTTTCCATCTGGAATTAGAGTCAACGTTGTTTACATCCATTTGGCTAAAGTTAAGGTGTGGCGCCGAATTAGGAGACAGTAAACACATTCGGCCATTTGCGAAATTCTAGCAAAAAATTGTCGATTCATTTTTTAATGGAAGTCTTCCTTTGCGTTACCGTCCAGACTGCTTAACCTATTTACTCCCAAGATCTGATTACTAATTCTCCCTTTAAGCTGCTACACATTTCCTTGTTAGCTAGCTACGAGAATTTGGTGATAGAGCAAGATTGTAATTTCTACTTGACAAGTTTGAGTATTCTCATGACCTGTTTGCTGGATAACGTATGGATATTAAAGGGAGAAGTTATATGTTCGTCACGTGTAGGAGTTAAAGGGTTAAGGTCGCAAGTTATTCAGGGAAAGAGGTGCTCCAAAAAGAAAAAAAAGATAATTGGGACACAAACCGACAACGACGCTTTTTCAGAATATAACAATTTGTCTACTTTTTTGTCTCGGATTCCAATACGAGAAATGGACATGGAAATGGCAGAGTTACATGTACGTATGTTTGCTTGAGTACTGCTTGTAGAGTTTTGCAAGTTACTTGAAGCTAGAATTCAATGATTTATGTACTGCTTACTGTTGTTCCATGAACAATCCCCTGAGGTCCGATGTAACAGTAACTTCCAGCTGTCATCTGACCATACATTGTCACTCCCAGCGCAAACAGTTTGTCATACATGTCTCTTGAAGAGTAGTTAGGGATAACCTAGATAAATTCAACAGGCGACAAAATAAATTATTACCCTTTAGCTACCAAGATTTCATTAGTAATTCTCCTTAATGTCTGCCATACAATTCATATGATGTTAGTTTAGAGAATTTAGAATTGGATCAACCAATAATTCACTAATTGATTTTTTCTTTATTCTCATTACTTGTCTACTTGAAATTGTACTGATAGTGTGAGGAGAAATTCTGTCTTGGTCACTAGTAGGACTTAAAGGGTTAACAGATTAGAGCATGTTGACTGGCCTTGGCTAGAGTAAACTCAGTCGCAGCACCCTTTACTAAAAAATCATGATCATAATCACAATATAATCAGCTTTAATTACCATTCCGTTAGTAATAACAGCTCTTGGAGCAGAAGGACTACTGGGAAACAATCCCTGTGGGTGCCCTGAACACATGATGAGTGTCTGCTCTTCTGTCATCTCTGATAGGTAATGCATCACAATCCTGAACTAAACAAAAGGACAGAAAGTTTCTACCACAAGTAGATGTAGATGCTTCAATCATTTTAATATCAAACAAATAAAATATGACTTTAGTTGAAAACCTCTGATTGATTCTGCATTGCATACCTGAGCCCAATTTGAGAAGACCTGGCCATTGCCTCCATATGTTACAAGCTCATGAGGGAACTAAAAAGGAGAAAATGCCAGTAGAAAATAATAATTAAGATCTGGTAGATCTGACTGTAGTGTGTGCATAACATTTGGGAGTTATGCCACAGTAAAACTTGGGCCATGTGACATAGAGAGCATGTTTGCAGTTGTGTGATTGGGTGTGCAAGGTAACTTTCTGTTGCTTAAGTTTGTGCCTCAGTGAATGTTTAGAAATATAACAGTTAATCTAAGCTTACCCCAGTTTCTACTACACAAAGTGAATCTTAGATGAGATGCTAGTCCATTATGGGGCACACCCTCCCCCCTCAATCTAATTATTAATTCATCACTTTTTCATTAGCAGTTCACCAACCATTATCTAGCTATTTACATGTATAATTCTGTGTAGCGGGAGGCTTTGTGTGAAAGAGAAATATCTTTCCCATGGAGAGCTTATTAAGGTGGTTAGGGCTTGACCTCTGAATTATCAATGTGCAATCCAGTGCCACCATGACAAGACTGCCATTCTGAAACAGCAGCACCATTTTGAATGTAATATATGAGCTTACTTGGGCAACTCTGGGATCTAAATTGTTCATTATCATCAGCATAATAGCAGCAGCTTGTCTGGACCTCGCTGGATATTCATCAATAGGATAAGCCCTGAATAATCATGAAACATGATATAAATTCAAAAAAGAAAAGTTAATCACTGACAATAACTGTCAAAATTTGTATACCATTCCATTTTAATTGTAAAATCTAGACAAAGTCTCCATATAACTTATTTTTATTTTGCATGAAAATTTCTAATGCAAGCGAAAGTTACATGAATGTATGGGAAATTTATTAGAAAAGCATCTGAAAAATATCACAATGATCCCATCCATATACTGTTTAAGACGCCTACATATGAAAAGCATAGCCTTATAATTACACTTTAGACCCTCAATGGCAATTTGTGACTGAACCAACACCCTGAAATTGTTACACTTTTTCTAAATTTTTTTACATACCAGTATACTTTTTAATTTTTTATATTTTTCTTAGGGTTATTGACTAATATTGTCAGGTAATCAGTAAAATTCACATTAAAATCCTAAAGTACTTGGCTAATGTTCGCAGATATGGACATACTTCCATTGATTAAAACATAATATTGTATACTTACCTCATTTGAATGTCAGGTCTAAACCGATACATGTAAATGTGTCCATACTGTCTCAACTCTGCAGCAAACTCTGGGGCAAGAACACAGTGGCATGTATGTGGAAAATATCTCAAGGCATTCTGCAGTGCTAACTGTAAATGAAAAGACAAAATGTCAAACTTACCACTTATGCAATAAAAATCTGTATTCCTTCACAATCCTGTACATTCTAAAATCACCTGATTTAATGCTCTTTCATTTTTGTTTTAACTTGTTTTTTTTTTGCATATTTTCTGTTATCATTCAAACCCTTTCCTCTCTGACAAAATAATTTTTAGGTTTGTACAAAATATGGACAATCCTCTTTGATTCCCTCTCAACTCTTTCAATTTTCTGAGCTTCGGCATGAACACATAACAAATATTGCAATCTCTGATGCATCTGGTTTGTGCCTAAGATAAAGGGGTAAGTTTCTGAAGAAACTGTGGTGTTGCTTTGGTTGGAGAGTAAAACAAGATAATCTGGTTTTATCAACTGATTTGATGTTTCCAGCGTTAGTCCTTTGTTAGGGCAAGAAGCAAAGGGCTAATGGTAAAAACATCAGCTTTACAAACTCTTTTCAGTAGCCAATTTACATTATCAACTCAGTTGATAAAATTAATTTATCTTGTTAGACCTAATCTAGTTTCCATGCCATCAGGCAGTATCACAACTCCTCCTGGATAGGAAGCCAGGCAATTGCAGGTTATAACCCCCTCTCAGTACTTATCCTGTCATTTATAGGTGAAAGGAATATCTGTGAGAGAGAAGTGTCTAGCCCCAAAGCATAAAAGAATGGTCCACCAAGGTCAAACACTGTAGAAATATCTGTGGAATTCTTGGAGTCCATTGCCCTCACTGTTTGGCCACAGCGTCTCCACTATTCACTTAACAATAGGATTTAGGCCTTTGTTTAACATTATGTCACAATGAAATCTATCTTATCAATATCATATTGTTGTCGTGAATTAGTAAATGACAATACACTGTTATAAAAATTTTTCATCTGAAATAACTGTTTACATCAAAATTCCATGATTTCAAGAGTGTACAATGTAAGGAGGATAACAACTTCTGGAAAAAAAAACTTGACAAAGAATTCTGACCATACAAACTAACATGCTTAAGGGTGTTGTCCTTAGGTGTCGGTCACTTTGGCGATCAATATTTAAAGCTATTTTCACTGCTCAGTTTTTTAAGTAATTTCTTGGCATGCTGGAAGTCTATTAACTATGGTATCTGCATCAAAAAAAGACCCTTTAATTTTCTCTTACTTTTACAAAAAGAGTGAGTGTAACAATTTAATTTCAACATTCACATGTAATTTTAATTTCTTGTTTTTCTAAACTTAATGCATGTACTTTGTCAACTTTCCAACACCTGCTCTTATTTAACCCTTTAACTCCCAGATCAAATTTGTAATTCTCCTTACTGTCAATCATACAATTCTTATAATGTTCGATCAGAGAATTTAGTATTGGATCAACTAATTATCTCCAAATTGTTATTTTTCTTTATTCTTACCACTTATCTGGTTGATATTGTACTTTCGCCCATAACGAGAATGGGAGAAATTCTGTAAATTGATTGGTTAGACTGACATAGGATTATAAAGGGGGTTAGACAATGCTTTAGATGAGCCCGGTAACGGGCTTTTGTTTTCTGTTCATACAATGTTCATAATAATCTAAATTTTTTCAAATTTTCGGTTCTTTTCAAATTCTATTGACTAGTGAAAAGGTGAAATTTTTTTTGCAAGAGTGAAAATCTATTGATAAGCGAACAGGTGAGATATTTTTGCAAGAGTAAGCTTTTCAAATTCTATTGATAAGGTTTGATTGAGATTGTTTGTGCAAGACGGTAATTTCCTTTAAGTTAAAGCTTTCGTACTGCACGCTTCGTCGGAGTAGTAAAGCTATTCCACGCGCGCGCACTCATGAACTTGACTAGTTTCTATCTCTTTTCCAATTATATGTTGCCGTTACCTATGTCAGAAATACAATCTTTAACTCTCGATTCCTTTGTTTTAGTATTCACGAAACCGTATTCACATGTATTCATAAGCTGGCGTGCGGAACTTATCTTCCGTGTACAAAAGATTTGCAACGATGATATGTTCCACGCGCAAGTGTTTTCAAAAGCGTTTAATTTAATTCTCGAGAAGAAAAGTGATGCAAAAATCATAGCAATGCTTTTACGACAAACCGTCTCTGCAGTATTTCGTGCGCGAATTACCTTAACAATCCCCGCTCCACAGTGAAAGCTATAATTGACTTGTTCGTTTCAACAGTAACTTGTTCGTTTCAAAATTTCATGATCTCAGGTCAAGTCACTTTTCTTCATTCTGTGCATACAAACGTTTATAAGGTTGACGTTTTCCGAGTGAGAGTGTAGAAGTTTTACTTATGGGCGAAACCTTTATTGTTCTGGGCGAAACCATTCTCGTTCTGGGCGAAACGATATGTGCGAAACTCGTTATGGGCGAAACCCGCTATAACCATTTATTGACATCAATATTTGTCATGAAATTAACAAAATGATAGCATTGATACTCGATTGTGACAACGTTATTTGCATGGTGAAGGCAACGATTGATTAAATTGGAATTAAATGGAAATCTTATATTTTAACGATGGATAAAATTAGTGGTCTGCGCCTTCTAGACTTTGGGTACACAAGAGAACGTGTGCAGAAATAATCTATTCCAGAACAGATATGACATTTTCTCCAACATGATTAAAACGCATAATTACATGTACGCGTGACTTTTTAATGCTCATGTGATACTCCGTCAAAAAAATAAGCTTCGTCGATCAATAGTTAAAGCTTGAGCGTTACATAACAGAAATCCATGCAAATGCAAGCGGTTAGGAGAGAGAATGTTACCACAAAGATCTCCTCAAGATCTTCTTATCCTAAAAGATTTCAATCACAGAAAAAAAAGGCATACCCTCCGTTCATCTGCAGTAAGATTTACAGTCCTAACAGGCGCATGGGGAACAGAATTGTCACGTTCTCTCGGCGGTGGGAGCGGATCAACTGGAAGACTACAGCACAAGTCCTTCAAAGACGCCATTGTTGCTTGAGATCATAACAAGCACTACAAGTTGCCAGCGAACTGTCTTTTTTAATACATGCGCAACCCTGTTTTTGGAGGTGTGTTTGGAGGCACGTCCGGAGGCGTGTATACAATATGATTGGCTAATATTTTTAGCTTTTGTTATGGTTACTTCATACGGCATCAATTTTCCCGCCGTCTCCGTGTCTCGAGTTGCGTGGAAACGAAATTTTGGCGGAATTTGCGTGTTTTTAAGCCACCACAGTGTTCTAGAAACGCTTACTTAAGCGAAAGTTCATCTTTATCCGCCCAATCGATATTAATACTTTATGATAATTGCATCAGAAAACGGGAAAAACAAGAATTCAACTGTTGTACCCTTGTGATGATATCATTTCTTTTGGCCCAAGACTCTGTTGACCTTTACCTTATCTTCGAAAACAACTCGCACGAAACGAATTTATCGTCGTGATAGCCTAATACTTCCTCTGTTTTGAACAGAGTAGTCAAGAGCAAAAACTATGAGAGTGTCAGTTCGTTTTAACAGAAAGTGGTTTGTTGTTCCATGCGGGGAAGGCAAAACTTCAATCCAGTGGCTTATCGAGGAGACACTTCGACGAGCGTGCGACACACATGATTCAGAAAAATGTGCGAAAGATTTCGAAGCTACTTTGGCTCAAAGTGGAGGAAGTTTGCATCCAAATGATTCCATTTATGAAGTTCTAAACAACAGCGACTTTGTTCATATTTTCGGTAAGTAGTTATTGATTAATTAAGTTAATACCGGCATGATGCAATTTTTGTTTGTCATATGAGACGTGTGTTTGACCAAATGTTCTATCATGCCCTTAAAAAGTGAAGCACAGAACGTAACCGAAGGGTTTTCACGTGCATTACGCTCGCTTCGAACTCGTGCAGCTTTCCAAACAGGTCGTTTGATCGAGATTCTCAGGTTTTTAGCAAGTTTCAAGATATCGAATTCTAATTTCGGTGAAGCATATGCCGGACAAATGATTTACAGCTCATTTCAAATGAAAGAAGCATTCTTTAAGCAGTCGACGTAAGCTGATATATGTTTATAGAAAAAAATCGTAGCTCTGCCTGAATTGTTGTTTTCATTATTGTTCAGAAAATTTTTATACACCGGTCGTAATAATTCACTGTATAGTTTATTGAGAGTTCTTTTCAGAGATGTACTGAAGTTTAAGGGCTGTTAATTTTCAGTAAAGGTGACTGTGGTGTTAGCAACCTTAGTGGAGTCAAGTGAGAAGCTTTTTGTGTAACTTAAGTTTGGTTTGCGACTAAGGTTTCAAGTTATTATCGATTGGGTTAAGCAAGATCAAATAATGATGGTCTAGTAGAGCTTGAGAAGACTGATTGATTTTTCTATGAAACTGACCTAGCATTGTGTAGTTCCAATCTGATGCTAAAGCCATGCACTGTTTTGCTCAGTCAATACATGCCAGTCGTGTAAATGAGGGGTTTCTTTTAAGTGATTACGTATTAAAAACCTTTTGAGCTGATTCTGTAAATACTCAAACAAATTAAAGTAGTTTGACATTTACAGGATGTCTACAGCATGGATTAAAAAAAAGCTGGTTATTGGAAGTCTACGGTAACCTGCAAGACCTCTCATTGCCTTTTGTTAAGCCTGCAAGCAAGTTCTCATGTTTGGATTCCACCTTACAACACAGCTGTCTTTTACACTATCTGTAGCCATTCATAAAAAAAAAAAAGGTTCTTGAAATCTCTGCTATAGGGCTGTTAGTTAAATAATGGTGAATGAGGATCCACCAAATAATTTGTGAAATGTTACCAGACTATTGAACCTGATACACTACCTAATACACTGATCTATGTATTTCAACATACATCTCCAGACAATACAATATCAAAAGTAACTTGCATTAATTCAAGTTATATTCAATCATGTTTTTTACAGAAATTGGAGCCACAGGAGAGAATGACCATAACTCACCAGATGTTATTTTGTATCTTTGCTACATTACATTGATATATATTTTAACCCCTTATTCCCTAATATCAGCGTGCAAATTCTCCATACTGTTCTTTATGCATTTCCTAAGATGCCAAAGGAGAGATTTTGTGTAATCAGGAGCTTCTTTAGTTGGCCATCATTTCCTTTACTCAAGTGAGCTTAATATGTGATTCAGGGGTGATATTGTAAGGAGAAATTAGATGCTAGTCACTCTTAGGAGTCAACAGGCTAATTGAGTTTTTGTTTGCTTGTTTAGATGAGGCCTCAGTGCACTTTATTTTGTGCATAGAATGTTTGATTAAGTTCTATATGCTACTAAGGACATAGTATCTTAGTTTGAAATGGATTCTGTACCAAGAGTTCCTGGTTCTGATTCATGTCAATTTGTGATGCTTCACTCTGACAGGGTCCTCCTTCATTCATAATTTTAACTAGATAAAAAATAACATTCTGCAAGTTAAAACTGAAGGAATAACCTGTAATGGATTACATATGGGGCCAATCCATAAGTTTGTCTCTGCTGGGTGGGGAAGGCCTGGATGGGGGAAGCCTTTGGTGGAGAGGAGGGAGCTGGATGAATCAGGGTCCTAGCTTCTTGTTATTTCCACTGGGGTGGAGGAGGGCAAGACCCAGATGGGCAAAGCCTTGGGTGGAGAGAGGAATCCTGGTGGTACTAACACCAGCATCTTTTATGGATTTATGACCATACCAGGATGTTATGTTTTCATGAATGATTCCTTTTTTCTAGATCAGAAATTTTTTTTGAAATAAAGGGGGTGCATTCATTTTTCAATGTAGCTATACAAGACTGTTTTATGGCTGTAGGAGGAGTTGGAACTTAACTTCATAAAATTTTGCAAAAGTGGAAAGGTGGAAAAGGCTTTGGAACATGAACAGGTAAACTGAATACTCACCAAAACTACTTGATTGGAAAAATCGTCTATTAAAAATAAACGATTGATTTAATATTATATTTTAAATAAATCATTTGGTGTACAGTGCTATTAACTCAGTTTCTCCTTATTTGTAACACTCGTAGAAAAGAAGTCAAATGATGCAAATGTACACTTTGTGGGAAACAAAGCGAAATACAAAAAAAGCTAATAATACTATTTAACTTGTGAAGGAGTAAAGAAATGACCAAAAAAGACAAAGAAACGAAATGAATGTGGTTTACAAACGCGAAACGATCACCAGTTTGTTAGTGCCTATCTAATTATAAGTGACTATGCTCGCGGATACTTTCCCGTCAACCTTTTTATATTAACCTTGCAGTTTGTAGAGCTTGATGGCTGTTCGTTGTCCACTGAAACTCTTGTTGCTTTGGGAAACGGCGAATTTAAAATAAAGGTATGTTTAAGCTGCATATAGCAGAGTTTCATTAAAACTCTGTTAACGGTGGCCTACCGCTTCATACAAGATCACTTACCGCCGTTCGTTTAGCAGGCGAGCAAGTTTCTCTTATTTGGGTTTCGTCTTACAAGCCGTGCCTATTAAACCTCTGGCAGCTACTTATCGAAAAAGCTATTTACGCCCTTGCCATATGGTAGACTTGTTAACGGAACCTTCAGCGATTGGAAATTCTTGTGAGAAAATTTTGTAAAGCTCTTTGTCGGAAAGAAATGGTAATTAACGTTTTAAGTTGCAGTTGCTGTTATTGTTTTTTTGGGGAATTTTTTTTATATTGAGCCGATGAACTTTGTGTGCGATTTTTGGATTCTTTCATCTTTAGACATCGGCTGTCGGCATTCCCAAGATTAATGTTTCCCAATTAAAAAAAAAAAAAAGAAAGAGTTCGTTGTCTGTGGTCATGGTTATTATTAAGAACTGCTATATATAGTTTCGTCGTGAGAAAGTTTTTTTTTTTACCATTTAGATTAGCGGAACTATTACTAAAAGGTAATTTTAAGTATTTAATCGTTTGCTAACAGAGCTGTTTCAATACTGATCTAAATCAAAAGAAAATAATGTCCCACTATTTTCTGCAGCCAAAATAAAGATCTATGTTGCATGTTTATGTGCTTGTTTTTACTTTCTCGTCGTTCTCCTTTTTGCTTTCTTGTTTACTCTTCTTTGTTTCTTTGTTTGGTTGGTTGGTTCCCTTTCAGCTTTCGAAAGAAGCTGAAAATGCGGTGAACAAATCAAGGGGATTATTGGACGACATTGTTCGAGAAAATAAAGGTAATTTTCTCAGCATCGCGTATTATAACTAGTTGTTTTAATCGTGGTTCAAAGAGATTACCTCACACAATAACGAGGGGTAAATTTGGAAACGTACCAGCTAGACACTTACAGGTATTTACAGGAATTTATGATAGGCAACAAAGAAAATCATCTGGAGGTGCGTACACTCTTTCAAAAGCCCAAAACATGGCATTATCGCACGGCTCAGTTGGCACAGATTCATTGCATCATTGACAAACAATCTATTCCTGCAAGTGTTCCTTCGTTTGCGCGGAATTCGCAGGTCGTAACCACTGTATTTAGAAAGTTTGTTTCGCCTTACGGGAAGATGAATCATACATAGATTTTTTCCCCCGTTGGCCAGCAAGGGACTGTCACATCTAAATCTCTCATTCACTCTGTAGTCGGTTGTCCTATTTCTCGTCAGTTACATGTATTTTCTTTTCTCGAGACCCTCGCCGTATCCAAATCTTTACAGAGTAAATTATAGAGTTTTAATGGAGTGGAGAACTTAAAGTCAACCATTTTTAAACTCGTCTGACAGATCGTGTGGTCAGTTTTAATTTCTTAACTCTAATGATTTTTTATTGTATCCCCTATTTAGTGGCGTATGGCGTGACAACGGGCTTCGGAATGTTTGCAAGGGTAGTAGTCCCTACAGAAAAACTTGAGTGAGTATCATTCGTCTGAAATACCCACTTCAGATTGAAAGAGATTACACAATATCGTATTATTCGTTCACTACCATGGCGTGGTAGGGAACAAATAATATCTTCCCAGCTGTGAGAGTTCTGAATTAACAGGCAAGTTTTGTTTCTCTCAATTTCCCTTTGCCCACCTGTTGAAAAATCCTTTTCTTCACGCTATATTTATTGATTGATTACTACCCTGTTACGTTTTTTTTTTAAGGGAACTGCAAGAGAATCTCATAAGATCGCACGCTGCAGGTAATAGAGTACTTTAGAATTATTGCTCACGTGAATATAAAGATACGCGAGCTCTGATTGGTCGAGAACTACCCACCCTGCGTGGGTGAGTATTTCAAGATCATGGACTTACCAGGTTCGCTGTTATTTTAGTTTCTTGAACAAGGCACTTCCCTTTGACGGTTCCCTTTCTTTACCTAGTTCACACCACAGAACTTGTTGTTTATGAGGCACGTTTTCCTCAACCTTAGGTGTGGGCAGACCCTTGTCAACGAAGCACACAAGGATGCTGTTTGCTCTGAGGATTAACGTTTTAGCGAAAGGCCACAGGTTGGTGGAACGTGCTTTGCGCGCTTGAACTTGTTTTGCTGATACGTTTAACTCTGCAAGGCAACGGAAGTAACAAGATCCGCTTGCAGTTTTGCAAAGGATTGTAATTAAACAACCACGCGTGTGATACTAACAAGCGATCTTCTACCTATGGATGGAATAACGCGATCGTTTTGCGTATATGTTGTTTGATAAAGTGATTCCTCGTTGACGGGGACGTTGACGTTGACTTTGATTCCTACATCGGTGTTTTTCCATCGCCTGGTTGTATTCTACTCAAGGCAACTTAGTTTGTTTTTGTTTTTGTTTTTGTTCATGTTTCTGCTTATGTTTCTATTGTATTTTTGTTTGCTGGTTTGTTTTCTTTTTTGTTTGTTTTTTCGCTTTTGTCTTTTGGACTGTTTGCTTTTGTGAGCAACTGAACGACTCGATTACAAAGACAGTGGAAAATATTTAAATCGCAAAATTCTTTGCTTGTGGCAAAAAATACGTAAAGGTCATTCAGTGTAATTCAATTGAGTGCATGCACTTGAGTTGGCGAAACCCCTCCCTCCCCCCCCCTCCTTCACCATTAATACGCCCGCCGCCTTCGCTGCACGTCAGTTACGCACTTGACTTTTGTGCCTCTGTTAATTTTCAGTGGAGTCTCACTCAAGACTTTAAATCAGATTGTGGCAGCCTTTAATGGTAAGAGGAGTAATATATTTTCATAAACAGCAGCGTATAACCTTTCGACGCCTTTGTTGGTTCTAAGCTGTTCTTAGACTGGTCATGCTTTACCCTTTGACTGCCAGAAATGATCAACATATAAATTCTTCATAGAACATTCAGACATTATCAAGCAAACAGGTTATGAGAATACTCAAACTTATCAGGTAGAATTCGCAATCTTGATCTTGAAGGAAATGTATATAAGCTAGAGGGGAGAATTAACAATCAGATCTTGGGACTGGGACAAGCTTCGGTTCGATGGCCCACCCAGGTTTAGTGCAGACCTTACCTCTCACCTTCAGTATTAGCTCCAAGTCTTGCACGTTTACGCAAACCCCTCTCACACTCTCTATTATCAGAGTCATGTCTCCCATGGATTCCTGAGCAGGGTACTGTGGGGGCAAGCGGCGACTTAGCCCCTTTAGCTCATCTGGCGCTTGGTTTACTGGGGGATGGGCAGATGTGGAGTCCTAAAAGTGGCTGGGCGGACGCGGCTTTGGTAAGTGAAAGAAATGCAGGAGCTTTTTTAAAAAAATTTTGATTGTAGTGAAGCTTAGGTTTTTCCATGTAAGCACCTTGAAAAAGTGATTGAAGTGATGATAATAATTATGCGATAAATCACGATTTCTATCGGTTTACCGGCCAATAAGCCACACTGGATGTTGGGAGAACACTCGACAAGTAAGTAAACAACGAGGCGCAGCCGAGTGGTTTACAACTTTTATTACTTACAAACTTTTGTTATTTACAAACTTTTATCAGTTGTTTATTAGCCGTTAAACCGATAGAAAGTGTGGTTCATTGCTTCATTAAACTGTATTTTAAATAGAAAATTTGATAATTTGGAAAAATAAAATCTTTGTCTGTGACTTTGGCGTTCAAAGTGTCCTCTTTGTTTCCTCCAAACCAAAGGCCTTTACAAATTAAAATCTGGGAATTCGCTCCGTTTTGGCGCCATTTTGAAGGACGGAGGATGTTTCAGTTTTCTATGGGTATACAGGCAAATATACGATAGAATACGATATTTATGATAGCAATTACCACGGTAGTAATAATAATAATAAGTAATTTTTTTTTATCATTTGAACGCGTCGAAGCTAAGCAATTTCTGTATGATATATGACGATGCCTTTGTTTCATATCTGGCCTAGATCAACACCCTTGACTAAGTTTTATCACATCTGTAATTTGAAACACCCTGAAATTCGTCTACAGTACTTCGTTTGCACTTCACTGGTATTTCTTCTTCCGTGTTTGAAATGAAATGCCACACTTGGAGTCGAGTTTATTTTTGTGCAGTAATTAAGTCTTTATAACAGAGTTATTGAGGAGTAATGTTACCTTGTTGTCATGGCAGGTCCTAAAGGCTTATGGATTGGAGCGTTTACAGCTGCAACCTAAAGAAGTATGTTATTATAGTTTTGTTATTATTATATCTTTTTAAAAAGAAGTTGATTTGTTAGATGTTTTTTTCCTCCCCAGGGACTTGCTCTGATTAACGGTACTCAGCTGATAACGTCTCTTGGTGCTGAAGGTAAATCTCGTAAACACTTATTTCCCCCCTCAGATGTTGTGTTTTATGCCGTAAGTTCCATTGGCAAGCTGAAGTAGGTTCACGTTCGCCTGGGGCACATTTTGGTTGAGTGTTTTAAAACCCAAGTTAAAGTAATCACATTGGCCAATAAGAGCAAATTAAAGGATGATATTGCAAAGAGCCAATGAGAGCTCAAAGAGCAAGCACGTAAACTTCTTGAAGGGCGGGAAAACGCGAGGGCGAATGCGCGATTGTTTTTAATGTGCGTCTGATTGGTCGAGCCAAAAGGTTTGCGCGCGTTTTGAAGCCAATCAATGGGTGGACTAACGCAAAATGCACTCAATCCTTTGAACTTTCGCCAGTCAAGTGAAAGTTACGTCAGCGACTTAAACATCGGGGAAAGTTAAAGAAACGAACTTGGAGTATTTGGGGTCGCTCATGAACGATTATGGAAAGAACAAGATAAGTCGAAGACCGGATCATATATCTAACCAAATATGCAGATTTTGGCACAGTGAGACATGTCAAAAAAAAAAAAGATGATTTCCAAATTTTCTTTTTCTTATGTTTACTTAGCCGTGGAACGTGCTCGAATGATTGCGAGGCAGGCCGACATAATTGCCGCCATGTCGCTTGAAGTATTGAAGGGAACTACACGAGCCTTTGATGTTTGTAAGTATAATAATACTTCAAAACCAAGGAAAGTTTGAGTGGAATGATTTATCGTGTCAATACTAGAAACATTTTGTGAGTCTTGACATAACGCTATCAGGTCAATGTCACTATCTGCGCAACTACGCACCTGCTCCTCCCTTAGTCTAAAAACAGTCAGATGATAACAAGTAAGGATTATGTTGCGTTAGGAGAGGAGTATGTGCGCAATTCACCAGAACCTAACATTGATCCGCGATATCTTATTGTCATTCTCGTCATAAGCCAAAGGCCAAAACGGGACACATAAATAAGTTTCCTTTGTTTATTTGTTTGTTTTTTTACAGTACAAAATGGCTTCATGGGGTTCATAATCGTCGATAAGTTGTTCTTTAATAATCTGACTGTCTATTTTAGACGATTGTTTTCCTTGTAAACCGCCATAGAGACTCAGTTAAAACAACAGGAGCAAGAGGTGGAGTTGTGAAGAAGGAGAATATGAGAAGGATTAAGAGTGTTTTTTTTTTTTATATTGTTGACTGTCGTAGGGGGATAATGGGGACCTTAAGCAGTCTGGTCGGCAACGCCAAGGAAGCCTTCGATTAAAAAATGTATTTCTGCCTTAAATTAGAATTTAAAAAATGGCTGCATTTGTTTACCGTCTCATACGGCGCCACACCTCAACTTCAGCATAACGTATAGAAGAAGCGTTGAGTTCCAAATGGAAATTAAAATAATTTGCCGTCGCGGTTTCGCTTCGCAGACGACGCAGATTGTGGACATTTCACGTTGTTGTTTTGCATAGGACGGCTAAGAAATGTACAAAGTTTTAAAACGCACGTGCTGAGCTATTGTTCTGTCAATTAGTTCTTTTGTTTTGCCATGTCCTCGTTGCCGACACCGTCGTGGTTTGCTTAAGGTCTCTAGTAAATGGAAATATACGGGATCCGAGCTACTAGAGGAAAATCATAGACGAATGCAAATTCTAACTGAAACTCGTTCCAATCCTCAGAAGTTCACAAAACCTGATTCACATTCTACTTTATTGGGGTCGTATCATTTCGTGCATGGCATTTTAAGAATGAAAAAAATTACCTAGCTGCAAGTTCTGCATGAAATTGTTTTGATCAATTTATCTGAAATCTTCAGTAATCCAACAAGTGCGCCCACACGTTGGCCAGCGTCGAGTCGCTGAGAGGCTGCGCTCTCTTCTTCATTCAAGTGTGTATCCGTCAGAGATAGCAGGCAAGTATAGACCTCGCGTTAATTTAGTGAAGTTGCTGTTTTAAACTGATGAGCAGCAACCCTTGTTCGGTTGCCTTGGGCGAATGCCAGAAAAAATTGGGTCAGACATTTTAGAAATAACTGTTAAAGATTAGATTTTCTTTTTGAAATATTTCTCCCAATAAGTTCTCAAGTAAATCTCGAAATGATTTTCCCGATTTAGTTTCCTAGCCCTAGGGTGTTCTTTTTGGCGACCCGTTATGCCTGGAAATGACCATAACGATACATTAGGTTTTATTCTCGTCTCTTAACAAGTGAGTTATTCATGCTTATCTTATTTTATTAGAGAGTCACAGGTTCTGCAACCGCGTCCAGGACGCGTACACTTTACGCTGCTGTCCGCAGGTACGAGGCCTTACCCATAGACTCACTAGTCACTTTCATTGAATTATTTCGCGCTATATAATGGCAATGATACATAAATAAAGGAATATTAACGGTGTCAATATACAAAATAAGACGAAATTTCTAAATATCAACGCCAATGAATGGTTTTTTCATATCTTTTTGAGGTCGATGGGCCTGAGTTTAGCGCATGAGAATTCCGACATTTCCAAGTGTAAACAAGACATAAGACTACTTACTGGAAATGTCTGAAACTTATTTCCTCTAGCGCGTCATTTTTCGTTTATTCTGTAGGTCCATGGGATCGTGAATGACACCATCGATTTCGTACAGGATGTGATCACAACTGAAATGAATAGTGCCACAGACAACCCAGTATCCTTCAATTAGTAAAGTCGTCTTTATAGGCGCGCAACGAGTGCAGAGGCCTTTAGATGCTTGAGAATTAGAATAAAAAATCCAATACGAGTTAAGGTTACTTTTGTGTTGGGGGAGGGGTAGGTGCGCAGTTTTTCAAATACTGATATTGACCTGAAAAGTTTTGAATGTGGCAAAAACAAAGTATTTCAAGTTATAAACTTAATTCATGTTGATTAGATTGTCTTTGCTGATCGGGGCGAGATCTTGTCCTGCGGAAACTTTCATGGTGAATATCCGGCCAAGGTATCATCTGAAATGTCCTTTGTTTGTTTTATACTTTTGTCCCACTTGTGCACAGATTTTAGTTTTGCTTCATTTAAAGTCTTTTTTTGGGTTTTTTTTTTAATTTGCCGTTGTTATCGTTTGTTTCGTGGTGCTTGTGCTTTTTTTCCCATGCTTTGATTCAATTGTTTTTTTGTTGTTGTTGTTGATGCGAACTTATGGTATGGGCCTAAGGAGACTGGGGTAACGTATCCTGTCTCGTTCTTGTCTCGTCTCGTCTCAATCCTTTCTCGGCCATACTTCATGCCTTGTATCGATGCAAAAAACAAACATACAAATTATCCAACTTTCGAACTACCCAAACAAAAAAACACTTTTTTGAATACTTATAGCTTAGTTATTATTATCATCATCATCATTATTATTATTATTATTATTATTTTCGTCGACTAGGTGTTAGATTATCTGGCAATAGGTGTCCATGAGTTGGCTAACATGAGCGAAAGGAGAATAGAACGACTCGTAAATCCAGGTAAGAATTGCAAGTGAAACTGTTTGTGGGAGTTTAAGGATAACAGTCGTTTCGATTCAGTTTTCAGAAATTATGTTGTAAGAAATGTATGTAGACCATCTGGAGAATTGTTTTTGAAATCTTGGGAATGAAAGGGTGAGATGTGGAGTCCTGTAAAAGTCCTTGAAATTTGATTCTGAAAAAGGGGAACGAATCCTGTTAAACTATATTATATCACTTCGGAACGTTGCTGTAAACGATTTTGTTTGTCTTTGCAGCCCTGAGTGAGCTCCCAGCATTTCTTGTTAAGGAAGGAGGTTTCAATTCCGGTAATATTTTCTAAACTGCATCATATCTCGTAAGAGATAGCTGGACCGACCGGCTGACGAAGGAATAGAACACTGGAAAGTCTGACAGAATGAACGACTGATCGATCACCTGACTTGCTGACAAAAGCTATTAGTGATTCAACTGACTGATAGACTGAAAAACTGGTAAAAACTATTTAAATGGGGTGAGATAAAATAAATAGGGAAGATGGCATCACTATATAGACTTTCAGACGACAGTGGATCTCATAATTCATAACTTGGGTCGTTATTGTTTGTTTTATTAATGTGGTTATTGTTATTGCTTTGATGGAAGTTATAATAATAAGAAATAATAATAATAATAATAACAAGTATTATAATTATTCTCATTGTCATTATCAATATCAGTATGGTTATTAATATGGATTACATCATTATTATATAAACAATAAATAATAAATAAAAGATATATTACAACACCAGCGAAAATCGAAATTATTAAAACTCCTGAAAAGAGACAATCTTAAAGTAACTACGAAAGGCCTTTTTAAAAAGAGACGTCTTTTTGAGGTCTTTTTTTTAAAAACGGACACTGACGCACCATTTTAAACGTCATATAGCAAAACATTCCATAGTGTCGGGCAGCCACAGAGAAAGATTTTTCGCCATAAGTTTATTGTATCATCATTGTCATTATCACCGTCATTACTATTATTATCAATATCATTATCATTATTATTGTTATTAGTATTAGTGTTATGGCTATTATTGTCAATGTTAGTATCACTACCAGTAATATCATTAGTCTTACTGTGTGTTCAATTTTTGATTTACCCCCCTTAGGTTTCATGATGGCACACTGTACGGCTGCATCTTTAGGTAGGAGATATGATTCTAAACAAGTTTAATGATAACTTTGTTTTTTTTTTTTATAAATATATATATTTTTTTTATTTGGTTGACTTCTGAGTCCTTTTAGTTTCAGAGAATAAAGTCCTTTGCCACCCCTCCTCAGTTGATTCGTTGTCCACATCTGCTGCCCAAGAGGATCACGTGTCTATGGGAGGATTTTCCGCCAGAAAAGCTCTTAACGTGGTTAAAAATGTTGAAAAAGGTGTGAATGTTGTGGATGTCTCGCACAATGCATTTCGAGAGAAAGGAAACCGCTGATCGCCATGCATGGCATAGCGATATTAACGTAGTGGCAGTTGTGATATTGTGTTTGCTGAAAAGCGAAGGGAATGTTGTTCCCAAATGCAGAATGTTGCACAAACAACCACGTCTTCGATCCTTACGTAATAAATGAACTAAAGAATAATCAACGGGCACTCGTAACTTTGGAAAAAACCCTTTGAGTTGAACTCGAGAAGGGAAAGAAGATACATTTTGTTCTATTTAGTATACAAACACTATGGGCCTGTATTGACACAAAAAATAAATTTTATTAATGATTGAAAAGAAAAAGGATCATAATCCGCGAAAAAAATGGTAAAGTGCGTGTCTTGGTTTCCTGCGCTTCTAGTAAAATTTGAAGCGCTACAAATTTTACGTGCTGTCAGCAGCCATAATTGGTAGAGCATCGCATATCAAAATGAAAGTGTTTGAGATTATTAAGATTATTATTATTATTATATCATCAGTATTATTTTGATAAACCCTGCCATTGTTGCTTTTTTTTGCTTTTTTCAGTCCTTGCTATTGAATTGTTGGCGGCTTGTCAAGGAATCGAGTTTTTGCGGCCATTGAAGACAACAGAACCATTAGAAGCTGTTCACTCATTGGTTCGGAAAGTTGTAAAGTAAGTTTTATTCAATTTACTTTAAAGTGCATCTCTGCCTTGAATCCTGAGACCAAAAAGAAAATAATTACAACGTTAAATTAGAACAAAGTAAAATACTTAAGTTACGTGTCAATGGCAAAAGCAAACAATCAAGTTACGATTGGTTCAAGTTTCTCACGACATCTCTACACCAATCTCCAGGTTAACAATATTTTTCTTTCAGGCCGTGGGATAAAGACCGTTTCATGGCGCCCGACATAGAGGCTGTGTTGAAGCTTGTGAAGAAAGGAAAGGTATGTGCAAAAGTTTATTCTCGAGCAGACTGAAAACAAACAGGCTCTATAGTGATTCAGTGATTGACTCAAGGATGAAAGCAGTTGGTATGCATCCACCAGTGTCCTATCACAATCTTATTGACAACGCTTCTCTACTTAACAATTAGATTATGGGCTTTAGATTTCTATTGCGAGATTGTTGATAAGGGCAAAGCCCGAATCAAACATCGCACATAGTTTGATCATTTTTTCGTGCGTTTGTTTTTGGTAGGTTGATTAGTTCTTTTTTTTTTTTGTTGTTGTTTTTTCCTCAAAAAAAAAAAAAAAAAAAAAACTATCATTGATCATGAATAAGAGATGGTCCTCATGTGCTGTAAATGTTAGGTTTCCTGGCACTAGGCCTAGTCTCTGCCGAGGGTTGTCATTCGACACTAGGTCAAACCTCGGCGCACATGTGTTTTTATCACTTGATATTTTCGCCTTTATTTTTCGAATGAGGATCATTTAACTAGATTCATATCGAAGGAATAGAACATCACGGAACCATTACGGACATTGTGGCAATTTTCAAAGTTACAGACAAGGACACTTGCTTGTTTGTAAGGATTTCTCATACGGTATTGTATTCGAACAGTGTGCTGAGCGTAGTTGATCGGATCGACTAAAACGTGTTACTGACACTGAATTCACGGCTGTAATATGATCCTCATATGCTGTATACCATTTCCCCTTCGAATTTCATATGTCTCCGAAAGGTATTTACAAGGGTGTAGCTATGACTAGAAGCGTCGTCTACTAAATGGTAAAGAGAACCTTCCGAGGCATGTAAAAATGACTTTTTGTCTTTTCCACTTGCAGATTTGGGAAGTGGCGTCACCATTTATGACGCATTACCAAAGCACCGCCAGATGTCAACAGGAGCTCCCAACTAACATTATGTCTCCTACTGCAAGTACTCTATCGGTTGACACTCCTCCCCTTAAGAAGATCAAGCTAAATAATGAATGAAATGGACGCTTACCAGCGTCGTGTGCGTTGCGTATAGTGGAAATGCTTTCTTCTTCTTTTGTGATCAAATCACAGATAACTTGTAAATATCATTACTTGCTGCCTCTGATTTTAATGCGCCGTTTAGCGTGTGAGGCGAAAAAAATTGGAAATATACAGAGCAAAAAGCAGACATGGGCATGCGCTCTCAGTAATTTAGCAATATACTTTATTCGCGTTCTCGTTGGTCCCTTTTGGTCATGTGTTAGATTGCACTCTCGGTGCTGGCCAAAAGATAAGCAGGCTCTGAAGACGAGATTGACATCGCATAGCAAACTACATGTTAATTGAATATTTTGTTGTGATGTCTTAGACATTACTTGGTTTTGTCTACTTGTGCATCGGTTACGAGTAATTTAGAATGTTTTCAAAATTCATTTACAGGCGAGAAATATGGTTTTATGGAAAATATTAATTTATTTTAAAATTGAATGAAGAATTCTCATTTATTTACTCAATTCTTGACTTCTAGGTTGAGTTAATTCTCAAGTCGCAAGAAAAATATCTGAATCGTAGTGTTGTGGTTTTTTGTCGTCGATAGATGTTAAGTTAACACTTTGTCAAACTTTCAAGTATTACCTATCCTGACAGAAGCTCTTTGGCTGGCTAAGGTTTTTGTTAATATTATTTATAAGATATGTTTATTCCCGTTATGTGAAAAGAAAAAAAATTCATAAAACACAACTCCTTAAATTTCCTTTAAAATATCTCTAATAAAAAAATATTTAAATTTGGTTATATCCGTCTCATATCTGGTTTGTTTTGTAGTTTGTTTGATTGTTTGTTTTGTTTATTTGTTTATCTTAAGGATGCTTATTTTTGCCCGTTATCGATAGTTGACTAAGACAAACAGTCTATCGATTTTGTGTCAGTGGTTTTATTTAGGTATCAATATCTTTTTATCGCAGTGAGACCAAAAAAAAACTAATTAAAGCAAAAAGAAAAAAAAAAAGAAAGAAAAGAAAAGAAAAGAAACTTAAACAAGAAAATAACGAAAGGGGAAAAAAAAACTATCTTTGGATCAAAGTGTCGAGTCTCAAACGTTTCCTACTTCGCCAAGATAATTTAATTTGGTTTTATCAGCTGAGTCGATAATGTAGATTGGCCACCGTGAAGAGTTTCTTAAAGCTAACGTTTCGAGCGTTCGCCCCTCTTGATTTCGCTCTGACGAAAGGCTAACGTTCAAAAACGTCAGATTGAGAAATTCTTGACGGTAGCCAATTTACATTATAAAATTAGTTGATTAAGCCAAAATATATTGTAATACCCACTCCGATGCAGCATACTTCATACTTGTCTTTAGGTAATGAGATTATTTGTTTCAACCGACCAGTGTTCGCATCTGTAAGTTTGCGTGCCAAAACGAGTTAACGGACAAAACCCATTCTTTGTATTGCACATATAACATGGGGCCTAAAACGTTTTGCTGTGAGCGTTTATTTCCGCAATTTCGGGCTCTGTTTCCTCTGAGAAAGAAACTCGTCCAAGGCCCATGACGGCCATGGGTGACCGCGCATCGTTTAGGTTCCCAGTCTAAAATCGAGTGGTTACCAAGGCATGACAACAAAATTCTCTTAATTCTTAAACGAAGCAGACGAACAGTATTTGTGTGGAATTTCTCGTAAAAAGCTACTCTTCTGAAGGATGGTGTGACTAATTATTAACGGTGAGATGTTCATAAGAGTTTATTCAAATCATTTTAACCCAGATAAGTTTATTTGGGGGGGGAAGTTACTTTGATATACGAAGATATATAATTCGGATTCAAACGATGACTTCGTTGCGTAATCAAGCTTTCCGTATTTTTGCGAAGAATAAGTTTTATGGCATCATGGCAGTAGCAATCTCACAACAATATTACCAAGTTATGTGAAACAAAAAAAGAAACAAGACGAAAACAGTCACAAAGGTCCTTAAAAGAGTCAATGATTCCATGCAAGACAAATCGAATACGATCGTTGCTCGTAAAATACTTCAATCTCAAGTCAGCTTTTCCCTATTTTGTTACAGCTGGGCGCTATGTGGCCAGGAAAATTTCAGCCGTGTTTTCCAAGTCTAGCGATAAAGCCCAGTCACAAGAAGCTACGGAGGAATCAAGTTCGGAGCCAAGATCGTTAAAATTCTCTTCAGCGGCTGTAAGTAGTGAAACGGAAACATCTGCTCACCAGTGGAAGGATTCTACCGAAAATGCCAATGGAAGTAATGTCAGACATGTAAATGAAGAAGGAGTTACGACATAGAGAGCATTTTAATCAATACACATATAACGCAGAGGACTTGTTTTGTTTTTTTTCTAATGCAATGCTTCATTAGCAGAACTTTAAAGCTAAAGTCAAGCCCTGAAGGCCATTGTAAGAAGTGATAGAAGCCTTCAGCTTATTTATCTGCCTTCTTGATAATGATTTTGGATCAATGTTAGTATTTGTGGAACAGTGCACTTTCTCAAGCCTTCCCTAACCCAACAACAGTCAAGTGATAAAATTGGGTTAATATTGGGTTAGGTCATTTGAAGAGGGGAAGATGTGCAGTCAGTGGCTCAGTTACTGAGATACCATATTTATGTTCCATCTTACTTTTTTTTCCTTTTTTTCGGATCAATGACAGTATCTGAGCAATTTTGCACTTACTCTTCCCCTAGCCCAACAGCAGTCAAGTGATGACAAACTAGGTATTTTTTTTTAGTAGGAGAGGGGTAGATGTGTAGTTACTTGAATAGTGGCATTGATCCAATTATTTTTTTAGCTGTTAACTTTCCTGTCTGCCTTGATGTGCACCTTTGCTGCTGATCAACATTTACATTAGTGGTTATGATAGTATTGCTGCAAAGTTCCTTCAAATGAAATGTAGCTTTACCTGATTAGAAGATTACACCAGTTTTAATTGTTGATCATTTGCAACTTACAGCTGTGAAATTTTTTGACAACAATTTACTTCATGAATTTATGCATGCAGAGCGTTGTATACACATGAGCTGCAAACTAAATGCTGGCTCTTATTGACCATAGCATAGAAAGTATCTGTGACATGGAGGGAAAATAAATGTGATAAAACTGCAGGATAACCCAGAGTAACATTTTGTTTGTGTTGATGTTGACAACTCTGCATTGGGAAGGCAAACCCTCCAACCTGACGTACCATAATAATCGCAGTTTATTTTTTTAATTATTTTTTTTTGTTGAATGGAGATAAATGGCCTTTCAGGTTTGTGGCCTTAAAGTTTAAATGTACAAACATTTACAAACAGTGCTTCATTAAGAAAGGGGGGGAGGGGTGGGGTGGAAAAGGTGAGGAGTTGGTGACATGAAAGAATGAGGAAAATTATCCTTTTGGGGGGCGGGGATGGAAAAAGAAGGGAAACAATCTTTGTGGTGGCTCATCAAACACATATTTCAAACTCTGACAAAGGGTGAACGCTTGAAACGTAGGCTTTGAAACTCTTTACAGTGGCCAAACTATGTTATCAACTTGGTTGGTAACACTAAATTACAATGTTATACTCTCCCATCCATGCAGTTCTACAGTTTCATTAGAAACTTACCCCCTTTATTTATTTCAAACTGTTTTGCACATGTGTTTAACATTAGTAAAGGTCAGAATTTATTTTAATCACAAACCAAAGAAACATTTCATTCTAATGATGTAAAAGGAGCTAATACTCAAGAAAATCAGTTTGAATTAACCCTGTAACTCCCAGAAGTGATTAACATGGAAGTTCTCCCTTTAATATTCATACACTATCCTACAAACAGGTGATGAGAAAACTTAAAGATACTAGTTGTTTTCTCAGTCTAACATAAAATTCTCATGACTATTTACAAGGAAATGTGTGGCAGTCAGTGGGGAGTTTAAAATCTAGGACTGACCAACTGCATGGTATACCTTGGTACTGAATACTCCATCTCAATCTCTGACTGGTTTAGGTGATGATCAAGTAATAACCTTAGTAATTTTAGTATGATGACATCAAAACCTCTCTTATTAACTATGACTCCTAAGTTACATGCAGATAACTTCTGTTTACAAGGTGGGATGCCCTCTTTACCTCTTGAGGCACTCATTCAAAGCTAGCATATCAAGAAAAAGTTATGTAAATACTTTATTGCTGTTTAGAACTCTTGCAAATTCAAACCTCGTTACCTTACAATATTCTTGTTTATTCTAAGCAAAAATGCAATCAGTCCTACATACCTAATTTATATATATATATAAATGTGGGGGTAGAGTTCTGTCTGACGAGCGCTTAGGCGCAAAACTCAGAGTAACAGAGAATCGATGTGTCTTCTTTGATTCTTTCACTTATATATATATATATATATATATTTTTTTTTTTTTTGCAACAGCATACCTTACTTATAATGGGCTACTTGCAAGAAATTTCCTATGACTAAAATTGCTGACATAAATTGAATACCTTACTTGCATTCTAAACATCAAAGTCATTATTTTAAGTGTTTAACAAGTTGCTTGGCATACTTGGAAAATACAAATGGATGTTGATTAGGTACTTAATATATTGCTCTTTTTTGTAGGAGATATTTAATTCTCCCATTTTATTAGCTATTTTATAGTTGGGGGGGGAGGTCAAAAAATATAAAGGTTAAATGGGATTGGCGTTGGCCTTGAAACTAAGTACTGTATTGCGCAAAATTCTAATTTCTTTGCGCATTATAATTTGATGACGTAACAGATATAATTGTTAAGATTTTCTATCGCTAGACAGTGTTATGGACACCTAGAACCAATGGGTAAATATTTATCTTGATTTCTTTTGATATTATCGATATGAACTGAAACTAATTTGCTAACGCATTACTTTACAGATTTCGAATCTCCGATCCATATCCATGGTTTTTGTCATAACCTTCATCCGTTATTTATTGTAATAAAATATCGAGGTTTGGAACCTTTGGTATATTAATGTCCTAACACACCGTCACAAGTACCTCTGATCTTGGTTATTCAAAGTTATTTACATAAAATTCTCATGATGTTACTTCACTCTCGTTGTAATTTATGTTAGGCCAAAAAGAAGATACAGTGGTGTAACAGCACTAATGGTGAACATTGCACTGGACAATACTTGTTGGTTGATAATGGTCATCATTCTCATATTTTTTTAAATTTAGGTATGTCCCTAACCTTTGTAAAATTAATTTCATTACAAGCTGAATATCGTAAAGTCATGCCAAAAACTACAGTTCGTTTTGTTTTTTAGTGTTTTTTTCTTGATGCTTTTGATTGGTTATCTTTATTAAATTTACTATGCTGAGGAATTGTTTTTTGTGACGAACTAGCAATTATTTAGTGTTTCTCTTTGAGAATTTTACGCTCTTCAAAATTCTGTAAAAACTACTTCAAAATAACGGTGACCTCTCGAAAATTTTTTTTACTGATTATCATATTCCTCTAAAATCTTGGCAATGTCACCTCTCTTAGCAATTTCTCTCAACACTCTTGCAAACTCGGCAACTGTTAGCTGTTCGTGTGAAGCTGCCAAGTGTTCCAAGAGGGCTTTTGACGGTCCGTCAGTGTGCTTTTCGTAAACTGCGGTCACTTGAAAACTGTCGATACCATAGTGGGAACAAACATCGCGATAGTCACCAACACCCGGCCTACTTGAGTCCAGACGGTTACAGACTTTTTCTAATAATGGCCCATTATCCAGCAAGCTGCTGAGGGGCTTCGAGTCTAAAACAAGGAGAGAATTTGGATACACTTTATGTTTAATGTGCTTACGCTGCACCGCAATAATGGAAATAGCAGATTGTTATATCATAACCTTAATTATTTATTTAATTTATATTTTTAATTATTTATTGCAGGAAAAAGTCATAGATGACGTCATCACAAGCAACATTATGCTTCAGTTTATCATACAGAAAAAAATATTCCATATCGCCGTGAGTCTGCACAGTAATAGATCATCATTAGATGACGTCAATAGGTGGAAAATTACAGTTTTGTGTGGTGGGTGGAAAGCTTATTCGAAGGAGATGTTATAATTATTTGAAGATTTAAGGGACAGTTTCTCATGATATATACCATATAAGGCATATACCTTGACGAGTTTTTGATTGTTCGTCTAAGTTTGCCCTGTCTCCTTCTCCTTGTGTTGAGGACTTTGCCTTTTTGCTGCGTTTGAGAGTAGGTAAGTTCACCTCAGGACCGCTATTTGCTTCATGTCTTTGACGTGGAAAATTCACCGAGTGTGATTTATTCAAACCTAAAACAGCACGGTTTATCAATTTGCAAATATCAAACTGTATTTACACACTTAATTATTTTAGACATGCAAAAATTTCAGCATGCTGACTGGCCAAGAACACGTGAATTATACCAAACAGTGCAGAAAACTGAAATTGAGCGCACAATGTGGGAATGAAATTGATTGACAGGTAAGTCGCGAAAGCACAACAAAACAAAATGGCGGACAAATGAGGAGGAAGTAAAAACGTCTTGATTCGGAGTTTGAAGGAGAATGCAAAAAGTAAAAACACCCAACAAAGGAGAAAGAGCACAAACACTTGATTATTTGTAACAGGGAGTTTAAAAGCTTGAAGCAAGTTATTGAGAGAAAAGCCCGACTACCCCGGCAACAAGACAAAGACAAGCTTATTCGTAGGAGGTGTTAATTTGTAGATTTAACTAAAGTTTCTCATGAAACTATAGCTGCGATGACGATCACGAAGATACCTTGAGAAGTTCTTGGTTGTTCGTCTAAGTTGTCCCTGTCACGTTCTTCTGGAGCTGAGGAAGTTGAGCATCCTGCTGCGCTAGCGCTGTTGAAGTGCGTACGAGCTTTTCCTGGCTCGACCGACTTCTAAAATGGAGAGAGCAATTTAAAGTTGCAAAATCGTTCGGATACCACGAATACTGAATTAAACAATATTAATATTCAAAAGGGTTATCGGTAGAACAAAGAAAAACCGTTTCAGACTAAAATGACAGTTTAATATACTTCATTCGTACTTAATCTGCAGATACTTAATTTCGCAATTTTGGCGAGATATTATTTCGCGGGGATTTATTTTTCCCGATTTCAACAGGAGAATATGAAAGTAGGGCATTGAATTTCGCGATTTAAGTGTTGTTAACTTCATTTTAATTTCAAAATGTCTGAACTTTCTAAACTTCCAAGATAAACTGGAATAAGTGTTGGAAATTTACTCGAAAGTTGTGAATAAAAACTACAAGGAACAAGTTAATGGCAATTTTGAGGACTGCATGAAAGATGTTATTAGGAATTTTTATGAATTTTGCGATGCATATAAAGATGATTAATATTAACATTTATACAAGATACATTACACAACATGCATTAATCGAGATACCCAGTGGAACTTACCGATAAAACTAGTTGACAATTTTCGTATATGTCGTTACATGTCGTGTGTGTTGCCCTTGTATGTTAGTCATTTTTTTTACTTGAGTTTGTTGTGTGGGTATTAAATTCTGCCTGTTTAAACTCCGCCAGCATTTTTATTCCGGAGTCGTCAATTTTTTTATAATCACGAATGACGCGAAATTATGTACCCGTGAGATTAAGTACGAATAAGGTATTTGATAATTATTTTTAATGGAAAATAAAAATAAAAGTTTCAGGCTTGGAACTCAATAGCTATACTTTGCAAGGTTAATCAAGGCTTTCCGCCTTTATGATATTTATTATCTTCACTAGATTTTGTGGTTATTCTGTCGATGTCAATTAAACCGGGCAAGCTTATTAGAGAATATAAAGTTAATTTGATAATAATAATAATAATTATTATAATAATGATTAGAATTAGAAATAATAATAATTAGAATTTGCGTAGTGCAAAATACATAATGCGTTTCAAAGAAAATGAAAATTCTCTTTAATAATAACAGCTGATTAAACCTGCCATAAAGTTAAAGATACATATTTACAAAACTTCATTTCCCCCCCCCCTAAAAATGTCTATAAAGGACTACATTAATGGGCCAACAAATCAAAACCTCGGCTTACGACTACGCTGAGAACTCGATATACAGTCCAGGCCAGTGATATCATGAGGTAGACTAGTGGTTTTGACTAAACACATACAGGCTTATAACTGGAAGGGCAAATATGAGGTAGGAGGCTTATAATTAGAAAAATATATATTTTACACTTAGATCGACCTTCATTGGCCCGGCTAAGCTGATAAGGTCGAAGGAAGTGAGTGGTGACTGTAACTTTACAGAAAAAGTTGAGCTGAAAGTTACATTAGATTTGGTTTGATTTTGTTTTTTGTCCTTTCTTGTTCGTTTCTCTTTCTTCCTTTTTTTTTTCAAAGAAAACTGTAAACTATCTCATTGGCTTTAGTCAAAAACAGATCGTGTTAGCTACATGCAGTATTACCTCCACAAGTGAAAAGCCAGGGTTCAAGTAGATTGCATGTTCTGTATCATGGCCCTCTTGTTGAAACGATAGACTACAAGAGAATTCTTCTACTTCTCGACCTTTCACTGGTTTTACTGCAAAAGCACATGCATCTTTATAGCGAAATCTACCGCCGTGGGAATCATCGCAGATGTACACCTACAACAGATCACGGATTGAGTACTACATTGCATCAATTGGAGTAGAAAGCTTTTCATAAAAATGCACAAGGAATAAGAGGTTCTTTAAAGTGTATTGTTTAGACAGCTACTTTCAGAGGTAACCAGAAACCACATAATCTACAACTCAGGAGTTTCTTAGCATTATGCAAAGTAACTATAGTGAGTGGCAAAAGTTTTGGCACACTCTACTTCTTACTATCTCCCTCCATCCCAATGTTGCCTGGTGCTGGTGTTGTTTGGGGAGAGAGGGAGGGACTCTCAAGTAACTTATTAAACATCAATTACTAGATTTCTGTTTATTACAATGTGTATTGAGTGGAGGATTGTCGACCAACCACAAAGGGCCTATTAAACCTCAGTTCAGGTTATCAGGGATAAAATGTTTCATTGTGACACATTACTGAGCCCAACCCCATGTTGTTTTCCTTACCTGCTCACCAGGTGTCTCGTCTAATTCCCAGCCCTTCTCAGGATCCACCATAAGTTTCACTGTTATCTTTTTGCTGTTGTTGTACATTTTGAAGGGTTTCTCCATTCCTTTCCATGAATCAGGAAACTGCTCTCTATCTTGCGTCTTTACTCGCTTGTAAAGGCAAAGTATATGGATCAGCTAGGTGGTACATCGTGCAATAACAAGAGTGACCAGATGAATGAATTTTATTCTTTGAATTTCAGACGAGACCTTATTTTTAGTATTTTGTTAGACAAATGCAGCTCACTTACCAAATAAAGGAATATGACTGGGTGACAGCACATTGCAACACCGGCACATTTACAAATTTTTGGGTAGATGCCTACAATTGAGTCGTATCCGCACAACAGGAGTAACAACACTCCTTGTCGCTTAATTTCCATGAAAGTAGGTTAAGCTCCAGCAATAAAAGGCCAATAGACTACTATGTACATACTCGTGCTTTCATCTAACCGTAGAGCGTCAGAGCCAAGTCGCAAAATTACTCGTCAGTGATATAATGGTCAAGCACATAAGCATGTGAATAATATACATGAATGAAGGGAAGCAAATATGGCGCACAGCTAATCAGAGAGGAGGAATATGTACCTCATGGTAAAAGATAACCAATCCTATGTGCGGATTTGTATTCAAGATGGATAACGCAACCATAATAGATATGTACCATAGTAGTGCCCTGTATATTACTTATCTCATGGATAAACCAATGATCATGATATGATGTGATATTAAATCGTTTTTAGCGGAAGCTAAAGCCAGTTATCAGTGGAAATGACTCACTTGTATCATACACTGTATGTGGGTAAAATATTGGAAAGAACACTTCTGTTAAAAACAACAGATTGACACAGTCGGTTGCATTTGGTGGATGCCTTGCGTTCAAACCAAAATAAACTCCTTCTTAAACAATTACTTACCCTCATAGAATCCTTGTTGTCACTGTAAATGTAGAATCTGAAAAAAATGAGATCACGTCTGGGATTCGGTTTACTAGCAAACACTGTGGCTCTTTTCTTTCTTGGTGCCCCACGACGACAATATACGCACCAGAAACAGAACGTCATGGTTTTGATATGAATGGAGTCCTCTTTTGCTGTGAACCACGCCCTTGACATATCATTTTTCTTTGATTCGTTAGGGATTTTCTCCCACCTGATGGGACCTTTAATCAAAAGTTGACGACAAAATCATCAGTACAGTAACAGCATGATGAACATTAGTCCTACCTTCCCAAAAGAGAAGGGGATAAAAAAATACGTAGGTAATACGAGTAAGTGGGATTACTCTGCTGTGGAAATCCACGAGGTACCCACAGGATTTAAAATTTATGTCTCGGTTTTTGCGAAAGAAGGAAAATCAGATACACAGAGAAAACATCTGTGAGCGTGGTGAGAAGCAGTAAAAACACTCAAGCACACATGACGCCAGGTTCGATAATAGAAACCGGGCCACAGCGATGGGTAGCGAGAGTTCTCATCTTCTTTGTAAGTCCATACCCTGAACAAACTCCGAACATGTAAGGCTTACAAAAGTGTAAGTCCTCAAGATGTTAAATCTTAGATGTATTTTCTTTGAATTCAGCTGAAAATACTTAGCCCAGGGATTTTTCGATTACCTGGGTCGGTTCGGTAGACAGTTATCCATTCCTTTTTAGCTTTACCCATATAGAGGCAATGTGGAATTATAATCTTCAAGGGCTTTAAAAGTCTGATATCGTGTGGTCCGCATTCAATCACAGGGGAAATGAGTGTTTCATCAGGTCCAACGGGGATATTCCGCAACAGCTCTGTTGTGTCGTAGACCACGCGGTAGAAGACTTCCTGGCTGACTCCAGTCGGTATTGCACCGTTTCCAATACATATTTTCACGTCAGAGTCATGAGCGGCATTCAGCTCACCGCCGGAACTGTTGAATTTGTCTTTCACTTCAAAGCCGTTTCCAATACATATTTTCACGTCAGAGTCATGAGCAGCACTCGACTCGCCGCCGGAACTGTTGAATTTCTCTTTTACTTCAGAGCCTTCGGGTAAAAAGGCACTTTCGTTGCTGTCATTTAGACCTACTTTATTTTTCCGAAGATTTGCCTCATCCGTGACCTTTAATAGCAAAAAAATCTAGTCAATCAGTGTTTTGAGCCAAACAGATATGTTTCCCAAAAATTATATGAGGTAACTCAAAGCACCCTATTGAGAAAGAAAAAAAAAACCAACATCAACATTAAATTTTACTACACTACCTATGGTTTCAAAAAAATGCTCGATTATTTTGAAATTGACTTTAAAAGGTTGCTAATCTAACATTTCAGCCTCTTTGAAACATCCTCAATTAAAGTTGAAGTAAAAGTCTTAAGACACACTGGTTGTTTTGGTTTCTTTTTTTATCTTATTTCCTAGGGTAGCTTTTCACCTGCACTTCAGCCATACATGATGACGCTTGAAACGATGACTGCAATTCCATAGCAATTCTTTCCGGGATTGGTCTAGAAGCACTGTAAAGAAATTTAATTGTGCAGGGTTAGAAAAAAAAAAAACGGTTTTGGTTGCAGAGGAACACCGGTACCCAGGGTATGTATACGTACCAGCTCCGAAGACGGCTGTTACAAACACATACCACAAGTCAAATCAATAAGCTGTTAGGCATATGCAATCTATGAAAGCGCCGAGTGGGTATTCTTGAGGTTTATAATGGAGATATATCCCAGTCGAGGTATTCCCATGAAGAATTTTGTGGAGCACTATTTATTACAAGAATTGCTTACCATCAAACAGTGGTATAACGGCACTCGTTGTAAACGGTGCACCTATGATCTTCGTTAATCAAAGCCTATTAACTTAAAATTCTCATGATGTCCTTTTGTTCTCGTTGCAACTTATGTAAGGCCAAAAAGAAGTTGCAGTGGTCTAACAGCACTGATGGTAAATAGTGTACTGGACAAAACTTTTCAGTTGATAATGGTTAACAGTGTCATCATGTTTTCTTGAATCTAGGTATGTTCTTGGCCTCTTTAAAATTAATTTCACTACAAGCTTAAGATCGTGTAAGTCATGCCAAAAATCACAATTCATTTTGGGTTCTTTTTTTTTTTCCTTTTTGCATTTGATTGTTTACTAATACTGAATTTACTATACTGTGGATATTTTTTTTGGGATGACCGTGCATGAGTTATCCAGCTTTCCTCTTCAAGGATTATACACACTTTTAAATCATTTAAAAGTTACTTCAAAATAACATTCTTTAAAACGTTTCTTACTGGTAACCATATTCCTTTAGATTCCCGACAAAGTCATTTCTCTGTTCAATTTTTTTTTAACACACTCGCAAACTCGGCAACTGTTAGCTTTGGTTGATGGACTGCCAAGTATTCTAATAGGGCTCTGGTGTTCTTTCACCATGTTTTGTAAAATTTGCGGCCATTTCATATCTGTCAACACCATAATGTGAACAAACATCTCCATACCTCTTCGTTTCTGTGTCCAGACGGTCACATACTATCGTTGAAAATGGCCGATTACCCAGCAAGCTGCTAAGTAGCTTCGAATCTACAACAAAGAGAAAATTTGGAGATAATTAATGTTTAATTTGTTTACACCGGTAAGCAGTAATGAAAGTAACAGATTGTTACGTGATAAGCTAAATTATAGACGCATTTCGATTGGATTTTCCCTATGATCTATTGGAAGACAGATGCTTAGATGACTCTACCATCAACAAAATTTTGCTCTCTTATCATTGAAACGAATAAATTATATTCGCCGTAGGTCTGCAAAAGAAAAGAACATTGACCGAGTGATTCACCGTTTTTCTTCACAGAACATCGCCAAAAGGTCTGGGTATCAGCAGATATGTCACTTATTTATTAAAATAAACGACATTTTTTAAAAACATGTTTGGACAGTTCTCCTGTCATCTACAGTTCTGATTTAAACAAAGAACAAAGCTGAATTTAAAGTGTATAACAAAATCCTCATTGGACAAAACAAACAATAGAAGGAGGTGTTAATTTGTAGATTGAACCAGAGTTTCTCATGGTAGTAGTTATAGCTACGATGACAATAACAAAGATACCTTCAGAGGTTTTTGATTTTTTATCTAAGTTACCCCTGTAACTTTTTTTTAGAGCTGAGGAAGTTGAGCATCCAGCTGCGATGTTGAACCGCTTACAAGCATTTAACGGCTCGGCCAACCCCTAAAATGGAGAGAGCAAATTAAAGTTGCGAATTCGTTCGAATACCAGAAAATCATGTTCATGAATACTGAGCTGAACAATTTCAATATTCAAAAGGGATATCGATATAATAAAGAAAAACCGTTTTAGACTAAAATGACAGTTTGATATACCTTATTCGTGCTTAATCTTCGGGTACTTGATTTCGCGATTTTGGCGAGACAGTATTTCGCGGGGATTTATTTTCCCGATTTCATTACAAATATAAAAATAGGACATTGACTTTTGCGATTCAAGCGTTGTCAACTTCATTTTAATTTTCAAAATGTCAGAACTTTTTAAAATTCAAAGATAAACTGAAATAAGAGTTAGAACGTTACTTGAAAGTTGTGAATAAGAACTACAAGAAACAAGTTATTAGAAATTTTGAGGACTGCATGATAGATATCAGGAATTTGTATGAATTTGCGATTCATGTGAAGATGATTAACATCAACATTACACAAGATACATTAATCGAGATACAAAATGGAACTTACCAGTAAATCTAGTTGACAATTTGCGTATATGTCGATATATGTCGTGTGTGTTGCTCTTACTACGAGTCATTCTTTTTTTTTTTCAATTTTAGTTTTCTAGATGGGTACTAAATTCCGCGTGCTCAAATTCCGCAAGGATTTTCATTTCCGAGTCTTTAATTTCGCGATTATTTTATAATCACGAATAACGCGAAATTAAGTACGAGTAAGGTATTTGATGATTATTTTTAAAGGAAAAGAAAAATAAAAGTTTCAAGCTCGGAACTCGACCGCTGTAGCTTTGCAAGGTTAATTAGGACTTTCCAACTTTAATTAGAATTAGTAATAAAAATAATTAGAACTGACGTGGTGCAAAATTACATAATGCGTTTCAGAGAAATGAAAATTCTTGTTAATAATGACAGCTAATTAAACCTGCAATAAAGTTAAAGATGAATGAATATTTACAAAACTTCATCATTCCCTTAAAAAGATGGAAAGAAAAACTACATTCAAGGGGCAACAAAGATACAGTTAAAGATACATATTTACAAAACTTAATTTCCTCCCCTTTATTTTAGCTCTCAAATACTGTACGTTCTTTACCTTTGCACCTTTAACTACATCGGGAAATATTGCTTAATAGGAAACTCGGAAGTGTCTGGCTACGTTGTCGCTGAAGTTGTGAATAGGAGATGCCAGCAGGATGCTTTTATACCACGTTTTTTACCTGAGTCGCCATGCAACTTCGGACGCCATTTTGGATTAGCAGTTCCACATCATCAAGCCAAGGGTTACTACCACTCCAAAGTAAATCGCCATTCTAACTCCGATTCTACTTTCCAGCTTATTCGACTAAAAACAAGTGGGGACATAAGTCTGAACCCAGGTCCGAGTACAGCGAGGAGCAAATGCCAAAAATGCTCAAGAAAAATTGCTCGTAACCATCGAGTATTAGAATGCAACCTTTGCGATTTGAAATACCACGTCAAATGTGGGAATGTTACGCCCAAAGAATATGGCTATATCTTAAAGAGTGATGCAAAAATATGGAAGTGCCCTTGGTGTCTAACACAGCCAGCATTGCCGGTAGATGATTTGCTTTCAGCCCTACCATTTACGTCGGTGTCCGACGAATCCTTCCTATCTATTGAAGAAGGGCAAGAAGGACTTAACACTGACAACGCAATCCACAACGGGGAGGATGGTGAGAGTTATCTCGCCGACCTTACTCAACATCTACAAAGTTTTCGGCTAAACTTCAGAATACCCCGCAACTTTGGTCCGCCTCACTTAGATGTGTCGGGAGGCTTTGAAGATGCGGGGTATTCTGAAGTTGCTCCAAGTTTTCCAGCAAAAGAGTTAAGAATAGCTCATTTAAATGTCTGCAGCTTAAGGAACAAGATGGACGAGCTGAGATGTTTACAGCTATTATGCAAATTTGACATGATTGCAATAACCGAAACACATCTCGACAAAACAGTTCCGGACTCAGCATTAGATATTAACGGGATGAAACTTTTGCGACTAGATCGGAAAGGGCGAAAGGGGGTGGCTGTGCCTTATATTTTGCAGAACATTTGCACGCAACTCAGCGGAAAGATCTACATTTTAATAGCCTTGAAGGAATCTGGTTACACGTCAAATTTCCGAGTTCCACGGCTCTGTTCGCAGTCATGTACAGGCCTCCTGACGCGGATCATTTTTTCCATCTTGTCAACTCCCTTTTAGAAAAGGCATGGCTGAAGTCCTCCAACATTTTTCTGATGGGAGATTTCAACTGCGACTTCTCTACTGAGGGCTTATTGAGCGCAAACACTAGCAAACTGCGTTCCATTTTCGAGATGTTTAATATGGAGAACGTCATACAAGAAGCCACAAGACAAACAACAGCATCACGCTCCTTAATTGATCTTATTGTAACCACAAGAAAAGATCTTGTCAGTGCTACAGGTGTATTCTCTTTGGGGATATCGGATCATAACTTAATATATGCGACTATTCGGCATAGTCATAGTCAAAACAAGAGATTACAAAAGAATGGATGCAAGAAGTTTCAGAGATGACATCGAAAGTGCGCCATTCCATATCGCGTCCATATTCGACGACCCTGATGATAATTTGTGGGCCTGGCAATACCTTTTTAACGACTTATGTGACAAGCACGCCCCATGGAAGAATGTGAAAATT